TACAATTTCTTTAATTTTCTCCGTTACCAATAATCGAACAAAAATACTTTTATATACTAAATTATTTGTTTTTTTAAGCTCTTTAGTAAGGTTTAAAGAGAAATCGGGAAATTTTGTGTTTTGAGGGTCAAAAGTGAGAAAAACCAATTTTTACCCCATAAAACCCCCCGTAAAGCCCCGTTCTCATTGTCCGATCGTGCTGGTTCGCGAACTCATTCAAGTTTATCCCGCTTTACACCTTTAAACCAAATTTCATCAAAATCGGACAAAAATTACTCAAGTTATCGCGTTCACGGACGTATATATATATATATATAAGTCTATATATATATACATATATAAAAATTTGAACAAATGGTGTTTTTGGCCTCTGGGGACATCAAAATGAAAAAGTAAATCGGTCCCGGGTCTAGGTCTTTCCGTGCCACCTACGGTAATAGCTACTTCCCTATAGGGAAATTCGCTAAAAACAATAAAAGAAATAAAAACAAATATTAAAAATTTAAAGAAAATTTAAAATAAAAAAAATTCTGCAGAAAGTCAATGCAACACCCGCAATTCAGGAGCGTGTTGATGTTGCGTTTCCTTTGCAAAGGCATTTTTATTTAATTATTACTTCTTTACAAGGAAATATTGCTTCAATTGTTTTATAATTTTTTTAGACAAAGCAAATGATGAGAAGTTTTGCTAGCGTAAGATGTGAGACATTCTTTATTACTGTAAACATATCCAAAATAAGTCACTCCAAAATCATTTGAAAAATAATACAAGACTGAAAAATGGTTACTTGATATTTACCTAGTAATACTGTTGTTTTAGACTTATAAATTTGATATTTTTCAAAGTTGAACTATACACTAACTGATCTCCATGTTTATTATGCCGAAGAGTGTTTTTTAATAAGCTAGGGCATATTAATACTTTTTTATAATGATGATTTTATTATGTATTTTAATAAAAGATTTTAGATATTTTCACGAATTTCCCTCTAGGGAAGTAGCTATTACCGTAGGTGGCATGCTAAGACCTAAGCCCGGGACCGATTTACTTTTTCATTTTGATGTCCCCAGAGGCCGAAAAATTGAAATTGAAAAATTGAAAATTCGTTCAAAATTTTATATATGTATTAACTATAATATATATGTGTCCGTGAACACGATAACTTGAGTAATTTTTGTCAGATTTTGATGAAATTTGGTTTGAAGGTGTAAGGCGGGATAAACTTGAATGAGTTCACGACCCAGCATGATCGGACCATGGGAACAGGGTTTTATGGGGTAAAAATTGGTTTTTCTAATTTTTGACCCTCTAAACACAAAATTTCCCAATTTCTCTCCAGACCTTTTTAAAGACCTTAAAAAACAAATAATTTAGTATATCAAAGTGTTTTTGTACAATTATTGGTTATGGAGAAAATTCAAAACATTGTTGTTTTAAAATTCCCATGTTATAGTGCAGTGAATAGAGGTATGTTAACTTACAAACGGTTCGGTAAGTCAAAATTTTTTATATGTTGTCTAGGATGGTACGGTAAGTAGGTGTTTAAAATGAAAAATGCACAATTCTCCCCCTCCGCCATATTGAAAAATAAAAATACCCCCTCAGCAAACCTGCAGACTAAGCGAATTTCCATTTGCCTGATTGGATTTACACTAAAATGTCTCCTTAAAAATATCACATTCATTCCCTATTTAAATTGAATCAGTTTAACACATACTTGCTGCAACAGGGAGGGTTAAAGTGTTTTTTATGTAAAATGTTAATAGTTAGTAAGAAATAAAAACATTTTCCAAATTTGGGCAAAATATGTTAATAAATAAGCAAACTACAACAGTTTACTTATCCTCCATAAGAATAACATGGGAATTTTAAATTTTGTTGAATTTTCTCCGTAACCATTAGGCGCATTATAACGCTTTAATATACTAAATTATTTGTTTTTTTAAGCTCTACAAAATAGTTTGGAAAGAAATTGCAAAAATTTAAGTTTTTTGGGTCAAAAATGGGAAAAACCCATTTTTACCCCATAAAAGCCCCCATAAACCCCCGTTCCCATGGTCCGATCATGCTGGTTCGCGAACTCGTTCGAATAAACGTAGGTTTACACGTTTGTACCAAATTTCATCAAAATCGGATCATTTTTGCTTGAGTTATCGCGCTAACGGACACATATATATATATATATATATATACTAGCTGTACCCGCGGGCTTTGCCCCGTTTAACTTCATATGTGAGCTCGTTCGCTGCGCTCACACGTCCTGGTTGAAGTTCATTCGCTACGCTCACTCACCTTTAAGGTTGGAGCTCGTTCGCTGCGCTCACTTGCCTTCAGGTTAGCTCGTTCGCTACGCTAACTCGCCTCCGGGTTGAAGTTCGTTCGCTGCGCTCACTCACCTTTTGGTTGCAAATTAGCTGTTGTCATAAATTAAAAAAAATAATAGTGCTGCACTCTGTTGGTAATCCTAGTAACTTTAATGCTATTGAACATCACAGAACAGAACCAACTTGTTTAATTGAAACAGCTGTTATGATTCATTAATTCCATTTAAATATGAGTACTCATTAGGTTAACATGGGAAACTCCAGAGCCACTGGGGCGGAGCCCGAGAGTCCGATCAGAATAAAAACCACTCAGTTTTCCTATTTAATGCCTAAAGAATCAGTGTACCAAATTTCAGCCTCCTAGGTAAGTGGGAAGTGGGAGAATTAGTGATGAGTGAGTCAGTCAGTCAGTGAGGGCTTTGCCTTTTATATATATAGATATATGCAAAATAGAAAAATAGGGCTAATATATATAAATAAAGATTAAACATTAATAAACTTAGTACCCAAGTAAAATTATTTATTAAAATGACTGAACAGCAAGCGTTGATAAGAACTGGAGATATAAGAAAAATGGCATTTAAAAACCTTCAAAGTACGAAACGTCCATAAGAAATGTATGGGGGAGAGTTTTCGTTTGAATAAATCTTCAAAACGTAAACAGATATTTAAAAACGGATTTCGGCGTTAAAATCTAGTTTATAATGATGTGTCACGTTATTACATTTATTTATTTTTTTTATTTATATCCAATATGGCGGCCATAAATAAGTTCCGTATCGAAATGAAGTACTACCCAGCCAAAAAGCATCGGTGGTCGTCCCAAGTCAATATCTCAAAAAATTTTGAATAAAATGTGCATGTGGTATATCTTTTTCAAATTCGTCCAATGTTGGAGAAAGCCGCCATTTTTAATTGAGATTTTAGGAGGTTTCCTGTTGACCGATTTTTGGCAACTTTTAGTATGTCACTCTGCAGACCCAACACTACAAATAAAACCATAAAAACGTTTTCTTGCAATTTTCTTAACGTTTACTGTGTCCGTTTTTTTAGTTTGCTTGGACTGATAGAGATTTGGCAAAATAACAAAAAAATTGACGTTTTATTGTAAAAGATTTTAAATATTTTCGTACCTTTAAGTCTTAGAACCAAATTATTATACTTATATTATAGGAAATTTAATTGTCTACAACATTGACATTACATATCTTTCGCTAAAACGCACCAAAACGAAGATATAGGCGAAAATCTCTAGAAAGTACTGATTTTTTTATTTTTCAATATGGCGGCGGGTGCGGAGGGGGGAGAATTGTGCATTTTTCATTTTAAACACCTACTTACCATCCTAGACAACATATAAAAAATTTAGACTTACTGGACCGTTTGTTAGTTAACCCCCCTATTTTCGTCTCTATTTACTGGACTATATGGAGAATATTGTAAAATGTAGTTTTTGCTTGTTTATGGATATATATATATTGTTTTTACTTAGTAAATTTATTGATTTTATACTAAGTAATTAATAATTTACAAAAAAATACACTTTTTTACCCTCCATGTAGCAGCAAGCCTAAGTACACATAAAACCTAATGTTAATTAAATACATTTAACTGAAAAGCAATTCAGACAAATGGAGATTCGCTTAGTCGGCAGGTTTGCTGTGGCAGGGGTATTTGTCTATTATTATTATTTTTGTATTTAACCAATCTGTCATAAATCAGTAGGTAGGGCCTATTTAAAAAATCAGGTTAAAATGTGGAACGTGCATTTGCTGTTATGTATGAGATGGGAAATCTCGTCTCAAACTAAAAATCCAATCTCATCCATCCCTACTTAGGGGAAAATCCAATTTTTCTTTTATGTAGTAGAAAACCCACTATCAAAGTTATGCCTCGAGATACCATGCGTACATACAAAATTTAATCTAAATCGGACCACGCATTTTGTATAGTCTCTATAGCTCACACATAAAATTAAGCCAGGATAATTTATTCAGAGCCCAATGATCAGGGACAGCTGGGTCCAGTTTCGAACATGGAGATATGAATTAAAAACCACATTTAAAATAGTATATTTCGTACCTAGGGCCGAAAATGAGGTTTTGCCGGCTCGAGGTAAATCGATCGAGAGCTGCAAAACCATTTCGGTCCGTGGTACGAACGCTATTTTTCACCACACTATACCCTATTACCACTATTCACCACTATAATAATGCACACTGATAGTCAACACAACTACAACTTTAAGGTTATGTGAATAAATAATTTGAGGAATCAGCAAAAATAAAAATAAATAGTTGCTAGGCAACGGTGACAATAACACAATTCTATTGCAATGTTATGGATTTTGATTGTGTATTTAAAATGCATTCATATTTTAAGTAAGCGGACAGCTGATTTTGCGGCCCCGGCCTGTAAAAACCTGCTTGGTCCCCAAATTACGATGACAGCTGGCATGGCCAGCAAAACGTAACTTTCAGCCACCAATTAACGTATGTAATACAGCCAAAAACATCATAGTGTGGTGAAAAAGATATTTCCACTCAAAACTTTAACTGGAAAATTTTGATTTTGACAAAAACAAAACATTCTCCAATTTCCATATATAGGCCTACTACTATGTATAGGTGGAGAAAGTAATAACTATCAAGGTAAAAATAAACGGGAGTAAAAGGAAACATTATTGAACATATTGATTTTATTTAACAATAATTCATATACAAAAAATTTTATAACTATTACATACTACATAAACACTAACATTCTCGCCTCAAACATAACATACAAATGCATCGGAAATAATCTAACACAAGGAAAAATAGAAAATTAGGTAACAATCTAACTGCCTATTCTTATCAGACTTTGATCTAACATTTACACTTGAGTCGAACACAATGCACTGCTTGGTTGTACTAGTCCTGTGTGATTCGCGGAACGCAACCCAAAAATTCATTTAACTTAAAGCTGAAAAAAAGACTATCACAAAAATATCGGAAAGGTGATAATCAAAATACAATTTCAGTAATGATTCAAATATGTGATAATCCTCTCAAGAATAAAAAACGAATAAACACAATTGAATACTTTGTAAGTCACTTGGTCCAAAGCAGGTTTTGTGCTGGCATGTTCACTATACACAGTGGGTCTATTACATCATGCCGCCCATTCCTCCCATGCCACCCATGCCGCCCATACCACCCATGCCTCCTGGAACTGCGGGTTCTTCTTTGGGGATTTCTGTCACAACGGCCTCCGCTGTCGTCAGTAAAGATGCAACTCCAGCTGCGTCTGTCAGTGCTGTTCTCACAACCTATGAACACATTCACATTGATTCAATAAAATGATTCAATAAAATAGGCAATGAAGATAGGATACACGTAAGCTAGACAAACATATACAAATACTTTCCACTTTCCATATAGGTATTCAAATTCCCTACCTAAGAATTACAACTTAAGGTAATCATGGCCGCCACATGGAGTGGCAAAATAATGAATTAAGTTAATAAACATTCTTTTAATGGGCAAACATGATTAAGTCAACTCTAAATGAAAAATTTATTAATATCAACTGGGTTGTAAAAAAAGGGGGCCACCAAGAAAGGACTTTAGTGAGCCAATGAAAGCCTTAACAATCTTCAATGTGCTTTCTTTTTTATCTTATAATGAGATAAGAGAAAATACTTGATCTTAATTTGGATAGAAATGAGAAATGATTACACACACACAATTTTTATCTGTAGATAGGTTATCAGCAACATTTTTAGCAGCATGTAACATTTTAACATCTGAAAAAATATAGTTCAGTTATAACAAACACAACACACAACCAATAGTTTTGATTAATTTTGTTCACACCATGAAACTTGTGACATTGACTATTTGATACTTGTCAAAGATTATTGTGTGAACAGGAAAAAAAATCACAGAACAATGAAAGGGGTTTTTACTACCCCTTTTTAATTAAATTGAATGAAAAATAATTTATTTACAAAAGCAAAGTTAACTCCTAATATTGGGTGATGTTTTTGATTATTAATTATTATATATTAGCCAAACGTTTGTAGCATTAGGATTCAAGCTCTACGATACCTTGGTGGGGTCGATGATACCCTTCTCAATCATGTGTACGTATTCATTGTTTAGAGCATCGTAGCCCATGTCTCCAGAAGATTCTAATACTTTGCTGACTACTACGGAAGCGTCTACTCCAGCGTTCTTTGCTATCGTCATGCAGGGCATTCTTAGAGCTTTCTTTACTATTTCTACGCCTGTAAAAACATTAATAATTTGTGTATAAATTACCCAATTTGCTTATAAGTACATTAAAGGGTAAATATTGGGTTTTCTCATTTTTGACCCTCAAAAATCATTGAATTTCCCAATTTTTCTCCAAACCATTTTGTAGAACATAAATAAAGAAATAAATTTAGCATCTAGAAGTGTTTTTGTACGGTTATTAGTTACTGAGAAAATTCAAAATATTGCAAATTTTCAATTCCTGTGTTATTTTTTATGGATAATAAATAAACTGTTGAAGTTTCCTTTGATCAAACTTGGCAAATTGATTTATTTTCCAATAAGCTATCAACATTATACTAAAAAACATACTTTATTACTGTCCCTGTAACGAGAATAGAAAAAATTCCTTGCTTGTAAGAAATCATGATTTGCTATCACTCACCGGTCTGCTGGTCAGGGTTGGTAGTTTTAAGGGAGTCCAGGACTGGCATACAGCGTAGCAGGGCAGTGCCGCCACCGGGTACGATCCCCTCTTCAACAGCAGCTCGTGTTGCGTTCAGTGCGTCGTTGACTCTGTCCTTCTTCTCATTCACCTCTACCTCACTGGAGCCTCCAATCTTGAGGACAGCTACTCCAGAAGCCAGTCTGGCCAGCCTCTCCTGCAGTTTTTCTTTTTCGTAATCTGAAGTTGTTTCGCTAATCTGGTCTCTGATTTGATCCGCTCTTCTGTCGACATCTTCCTTCTTACCTTTGCCCTTTAAATATTTTCCTTCATTAGATTGTTTAAATGAAATTACTAATTTTAAATGGGAAAATCGTATAATCAGATTCATAATTTATTTGTAAATGCTATAAATGTTTCCATTAAAAAATGTCTATTTGTGTTTGTACATATAATTTCTTAAACCAAGGTTACAAAATGACTTACTAGAAAGCGTGGAGGGGTCGAGAGAGTATTAAATGGGGGAGGAGGCAAAGGAAATGTGCTACTTCTACTGCAAAGATACACTTACTTATTAGATTTTTTTTTATACTATGACAGTTGATGCCGACACAAAAATGTATTGCTATCTGCAATGCAATAAACTGTTTGCTGTCATTCCAGTTTTCTATGAGTTTATGGTTAAACAAAACTCATTTGTTATTTTTTTTAGCTTCATACAAAATAAATTGAATTCAGATACAGAACATTATTCTCACATGTAGCTTTTAGGATCTATTAAAAATATTTGTTTCCAGTTCAACTATTCTAGAATTTTTTAGCTCTTCTCAGGACCCAAACCCCAAATAAAAAGATAAAAGATCCCACACCTTTAACAGCAGAGTATCATCCTTTGTGATGAGAACTTCAGCAACCTCTCCCAGGTCTGACGCCTGAACATCCTCCAGCTTGATATTGGCTGCCTCGTCTCCGAACACAATACCTCCGGTGGCGATGGCCATGTCGTTCAGTGTAGCCTTGCGGTTGTCACCAAAGCCAGGGGCCTTCACAGCGGCAACTTGGAGACCAATTTTCAGTCTAAGAGTATAAAATTTACCAGTAAATCCTTTAGTCTTGATTAGTTATCAGACAAAAATAAAAATGTCATTTCAATTAGCAAATGCGCTAGCTACAGCCAGTTGGGATTTAGTTTGGGGCTGTGTATCATATATCTAGTCTTTAATTTTGTTAGATAATATAACTTGAAATTTATCCCCTTTTCAAAAAAATATAACCGTAGATAAATAAATTGATTTACACTTGCAGCTTTGTGAGGCTTCACCATATTTTTAGGTATGGCAGAAGTCGCTGTGATTAGTTTTATATCTAGTGACATTTCCGTTTCAAAAAATTCCTAAAATCATTAAATAGTGTGTCTAGGACGACTACAGCTAGCTTTAACCTGTGAAGAAACCTTCCTCAGTTGCCATAAAATAGCTGGATAGCTGAGTGGTTATTGTTTTCAGCTAGTAATCAGAAGCATGTCTTATATCCCACATCTAATAACACTACATTCAGTTGTCAACAAATCTTCTCTGATAAGACTATTGCAAAACCCCAGCACTTTACCTGTTGACAACCAGAGTGCTCAGAGCTTCTCCGTCCACATCTTCCGCCACGATAACCAGAGGTTTGCGTTGTGCGTTGGCCAACTCTAGAGCAGGGATGATGGTCTGTACACTGGAGATCTTCTTTTCACTCAGAAGTAAAAGGCAGTCCTTAAACTCTACTTTGGCCCCTGGAAGAAAGATTATGCTCAGCCATGTTCATTGTGACTCATACTGTGGGTCTTTCCTTGAAAATTTTGATTTGAAATATTAATTGACTAAAACTTCCTAAACTACTGATCTGAGAGATATCTTGACACAGTTTAATTACTTTTACAGTGCAAGTTAACTAAACCCTTGCCAGACGGTAGGCGGATATATCCGCCGATTATTACGACTCTATTGTTATAGTTGATGATATATACAACAACATTAATCTTCATAAAAATGTTTTTTTTTATTCAATTAGGCTATATCTTTAAACGATATACTAGGAATGTTTTTTTTAGATGAATAATTATAAAATAACCCATAACATAACTGAGCGTTGTGTAGCGGCACTCTTAAGTCAGCCGCCGGGCCTGCAGCAGCCGTAAAAGTAAAGCTCGTAAGTCGGCGCCAATGGGTTAACTTTATAGTGTTTAAACTGCTTCCACTAACACCAAAAAAAAACTATTCAATTTTTGAACTAGTTACCTTAACCCTCCGAGCGAGTGTCACGCGTTTTGGCCTTAATGTCAGCCTATTTTTTGCTCATTTGCAAGGTTTTATTAAAACGGATCTGAGAAGCTTAAAAACAATGTTAATTCTACTGTTCTATATACCATTTTGTCTGGAAAATCATGGGCTTCAATATTATATATAAAACATAAGGAACATTGTTTCAAAAAAAATTTTTTAGGTAAAAAAAAATATAATTTGGAAAATTTTCAAAAAAAAAGAAGTTCGCGCTCAATGAAATTGTATAAATTATAGGCCTATAAATATTTGAAAATAGCCACTTTGTTCTAAATTTTATGAGGATTAAAAATATATAATAATATAAGGAAGTAGCTTTGCTAATAAATAAGTTATGGGCAAAAAACAGATTTCAGAACATAGCGTTTAGCTAAGAATGCATAGCCTAACCATAGCTAGGAATCTGGCTGATAATTTACATCAATATCACTACCTACTTCTTCAGGATCATCAACCAGCCCTTCAAAATCACTTAAATCTTCTTATAATGCACCACGTATATCACTACTTTTGATTTTTAACACTAAAACAATGATAATCATAATAAAACACATCAGTCATCGGTCCGAGGTTATCTAACCTGTTTACAGATATGCACGTCAGCTGTCTGCTACAATTACGATCGGCTCAGAGACCATACAGCGCTTAGAGACAGACCTTTAGAAAGCTTAGAATCTAACGAAAAGAACGATACCTAACTCGATCCAGTTCAATCCGATTCAGTCAGTCATAGAGCCTTCGCCGTAAACAGTGTTCGTGAGTCGCTGCAGCGACGCATGACACTACACAAAGTGTGTTACGCGTCGCTGCAGCGACCCATGACACTCGGAGGGTTAAGCCTTTGGTCTTGCAAGATGAAGTTATAATTCTCCATAACTTCAAAAGCAAGACCAAAGGCTTAAGGTTACTAGTTCAAAAATTAAATATTCTAGTTCTTGCCACTGGGAAAATACATAAAATCATCACAAAAAACTAGGTTTTAAGTGCAGTGCTAAACGGATTGACTACACTCTATTTCAAATTGAGCAAATAGAGCTTGGGGGCCAACTTTATTAACAGATTCAAGAATAGCTGTAATCTTTTAGAGTTTGAATTCCCTCATTTTCAGAGTGATGTAAATTAAGATATGTCAAAATTTAATAACTTATGCTCTTGCTATTACAAAAAACACCCGAACTAACTAGCTGTGTAAACTATTCTAATGTCAACAATGATTCATTAGAGGTTCAAAGCAATTTTATGTAAATAGGCTTCTGATAACTGCTGCAATTAGCTATTAGAAGGAAGTGTAAAAAACATCCCCTAGGTCCATCCATTTTTAGAAACCATGGTTGGAATCCACAATGGCCATTTACATTACTATATGATTACTTTACTTCAAATATTTGATCTTAAATCTATACAATAAGGGTTTTTGCTGTTACATCCCTTTTCCAGCTGTCCTACTTAACCGATTTTTACGATTGAGGTGTCACTTTAAAGCGTATGATCTAGCGCGCCTGATAATTTGGTAATTAAAAATGTATTGTCTTATGGGGCTTTGCTTCCTAGAGTTTGATATTTCTAGAGTTTGCTTTCAACAATCCTGTGATACTGACTAATTTTCTTTATAACGGTTTAAATAAATATTATAAATTAACCGCTGATTCTTCAAAGCTGATTCTTTGGTTTAGCCATGGTCAGATTGTAAACAAGCGACCATATAGTTTATGAACATGTACATTAAGTAGGTTACTTTTTTGATAACTGTAACCTGATTGAGGAAGGTAAATCACTCTTTACTTTACTTTAACCCTCGAGCTGGCATGCCCCCGATATCGGGCGATTTACGCCGTGGCTGAAATGGCAGTGCCCGATACAACGTAACGTATTGGAAATCGCTGATTTTTGCACGAAAATGAAACAAATTTCACTTTTATTTTACAGAGTAAAATGACTTTCAGCTCCAGGGTTAGTAATTTCTTATGAAATGGCAACCATACAAACTAGGTATTTTAAGCCAAGTATGAATGGAGATGAGTGGCGCGATCTTGCAGTCTTGTTAGTGACTAAGGCCGACATTCCTTAGACACAGCTGTTAATTAATAGCTAATGGCAACTAAGGGACCTACAGTTCATAGTGGAATCCGAACCACATTTTTACCTTGGCATTAACGAATTGGTCTAATTATCAGGATAGTTCTGCGGATAGTCGTAGTACTCACTAGTGCGGACGTTAATAAAATATAGTGTGGATCTAAAACCAACAAATTTGTTGTAAATTAGTAATACTATTCACCTAATAACTGTTACTGTTCCAAACAAACATAATATTGAAAAGGGAATTCCGGGTGTTGCACTGGATTTTTTTTACTTCTTGGCAATAGGTTTCGGACCTTATTAAACTGTGCAATTTGTGCACGGGTCCTCTTGTTAATATTTAAAAAGATGTTATTTCCCAAAACGTCTTTAGGCTTATACAATGACTATTTCAATTTACCTTTAGCGGTGTTTATGAAATAAGGTGAGATGTAGCCTCTGTCGAATTTCATTCCTTCTATGACCTCCAACTCATCACTGAGAGTCTTGCCATCTTTGACAGTGATGACTCCATCTCGGCCCACCTGCCAATCAAATTATAGCTTTCGAAACAGTTATTTTCTGATTTTATTTCATTATTGGGTATTCAGAAATTTTCTATTGGTCTTATCTAGTTAAACCTAAGAAACATTATCTTACTTGATATTTTACTGAGGATGTGTCAAAAGGAGTTTGGCTCTTAGTTTTTAGTGAATGGGGTTTTTATCATTGTGTTAGCTCCCCTAATGGTAATAAAATATGGGAATGATATTGTGGAAAAGTTTTGTTCTATAGTTGAAAATTATTGTTGATATTACGTTAATGTTTAAGCTAAAGACACATAAGTTACCACAAGAAACTTAATTAATTCTTAAGATATAATCTAGGCCTCTCCAACAATATTCTGCGTCCTAACCACTAAACCCCCATGGGCTTTAAAGGAAAATAAAAATCAAGTTAATCTTGATTTAAAGTTGACAAACCTTCTTCATGGCATCAGAGATGAGTTGACCCACTTCCCTGTCCCCATTGGCTGAGATGGTAGCTACTTGGGCGATCTCCTCGGGAGTAGTCACTGGCTTGGACAGTTCCTTTAGTTTTGCCACCACAGTTTCAACAGCCAGCATAACGCCTGTAACATTTCAGATAATGTAGGTCTACTGAGTCAAATGTTACTACCAAATCTGAAACCTGAGTTTAATATTTATTTCTTAACGTGCTTAGTATTTCTTTAGTTTAGAGTTTAACTTAGCAAGTGTTTCACTTGAAAAATAACAAGTTTCTGTGATTAAGTTGTTTGCAAAATTTGACCTTGATACAACTCTCTTATTTAAGTTAAAAGTAACGTCCGGTAATTATAGATATATTATGGATAGAAGGTTAATTATTTAAAAAAAAAAACTACTGTATCAATTTTGTTGGCTTAAATTATGTTTTAAACAAGTGTTAGGCCTAGGTGGTTTAAAACAATAAACATGCCTATAGGCCTAAACTAAATTGTTATTAATGCATTGGATGTTTAACCTTCAAAATGTCCTTAAAAGCATCATAAATTATCCTACTTTGCACAAGGCCAAGTAAAAGTAAATGTCCAGAATTTTATCCCACAGTACATTTTCTTGATTCTTAGTTCAACGTTAGTTCGTTATCAGTGCCTGTGTGTCTGTTCAATTAATTTAGTCTCCAAAACTGTATTATTGTGACTTTAAACAATTCTGTCCAATGAGTTTACGTTTAAATGACACGTGTCCTGTGAAAGTTTATTTGATAAATAACACATTTTTACCTTTTCTGATTTCAATAGGGTTTGCACCTTTGCTGATCTTGTCAAACCCTTCTTTGGCGATCGCCCGCGCTAGAACTGTCGCTGTGGTGGTACCATCTCCTGCCTCTTCATTAGTATTGTTTGCAACATCTTGAACCAGTTTGGCACCGATGTTTTGGAACTTATCTTTTAATTCAACTCCCTTGGCGACCGTAACTCCATCTTTGGTAATTTTTGGACTTCCCCATGATTGTTCTAAAATTACATTCCTACCCTGAAAAGCAATAATTCAGGTCATTACCACTTCTACTGCATATTAGTATACGTTATTATAAGCAAGATCATCTTTCTGTAGCATCTTCAACTATAAAAAAACAATATTGCTAGATAAAAATATTTTGGCAATAATTACTTAAAATAAACAACTTGTAGTATCGGTAGTCATTTTAGGAGGCCTAACATTCTTTTATCTTAATCCAGCCTAGCTCTTACTGTAACACTCAAAAAAGAGGCTTGACATAAATAATTTAAAGAGTATTTGATTGATCAATAAACTATCAATATTATTAATCCAAAATAGGCCTCCTCAAGAAACTGACCTTTAAAATTAACGATCTTGTTTAAACTCACAAACTTTTTGGTCACTGTTATGAAGATTCTAGATTATATTAGCCTATATCAAGTTAATATTTTAAATCTTTACTTCTCGAATAAATTTTTAACCACATAGTTCTGCACAATACTCTAGGACAAATTGCATAGCTCAGTGTGAGGTTAGGTTTCGCTTGGGGACGTTTTTGCGCCAGCAGCTATATAAAGTACATATATTGGTCTTTTTTACCACAATGACAATGCGTAATTCGTTAAGGATTTTGCAGCATTTTTAATATACGGGTCTTAGGCCTGTCACTTTATTTTGGCGTTTGGCAATAGGCCTACTGAGGAACTATTAGTAATCCTCAAGTGTTAATGCTAACACATGGAAGGAAGATACAGATGATATACTTATGGGACAACAGTGCGCTATCAGCTCTTATAAGTGGAAATGTACTTGTACCGAGCAAGGAAGAGCCCGAACGGCAATGGCCACATCACATTTTAGAAGCAGTTGGGTTTATCCTTCAGCGTAAGCGCTGTAGTATGTGATGGCGAGGGGGGAATGGAGACAAAGAATAGGATTTGTGTTAGACACCAGCGACTACAATGTGTAACTTTGAATGTATCCTCTGTATCTTGCTTCTCTGTTGAGCCAAATTTTTCCCTTATTTTTTATACACTGTGACTCTTCTCAAATCATTAGAATGTTGCCACTCCCATTCCTTGCTAATGCAGTGCCATTTTGCAACCACATCAAATGTTTCTAACAACAAATTTAAGATTGGAGTGTCGCCACTTACCTTGGGACCCATTGTAACTGCTACAGCATCTGCGAGTATATCAACTCCTTGCAGCATAAGTCCTCTAACTTCTGCTCCAAACCTCACATCTTTGGCATAACATCTTGTGATGGATGGACACAATTGACGCGACGCAACAGTCCTTAGCACAGTTGGTAGACGAAACATCTGTAAAATAAACCTATGTGCTTAGTCTTATTTAACTAAGAACATTTAATTAATTATAACTTCCTCTTAGAGGACTAGCTTCACCCTAAAATTTTAGTTACCCAGTTTAAAATTACTCTGATTATAATTATAGTCATGTTACTAATCAGATCAAGCTTTTGCAGTAGTGAACTCTGATCTGGTGAGAATAAGTAAGTGATTGGTCCCATAAACATGGTTTAAAATTGAAGTCTGAAAAATGCATCATTCTTCATATTGCTACACCCACTACTCTTCACAGAAATTCAAATGGAAACATGCACGTTCAAATTGCAGGAAAACTTTTAATGCTGACGGATACCGTCAAGACGTTGGGTGTGGTACTTGACAGTGGCTTCACATTCTCAGACCACATCACTTATGTTTCCCAGGTGACTTTGGGAAGCTGCGAAACCCAAAAACAACGCGTGGTGTGTACCGGTACAAAAACATCCCGCCAGAGGCAGCTAAGCTGCAATTCGTTTTGTTTACGGTATCCGTAAGCGTGAACGTGTATCCCCTTTCTGGGATGCTGCGGAGTTGCATGTAACTGCAGCAAACCTGCCGAATTTCCATTTGCCTGGATCGATTTTCAATTATTCTATTAAATTAACATTTATGTTTAACAATTACCTAGGTTAGCTGGTACAGAGAAACTAATAAAGTGTGTTTTTTTATTAAAATATCAATAGCTTAGTATGAAATAAATAAATCCGCCAGGATTTTATCAAAATTTAAGTTATCGTCTGGACGGACACATATAGCCTACCTATATATTTTAATATAAACATTTGGATATAAAAATTTTAACGAATGGTGTTTTTGGCCTCTGGGGACATCAAAATGAAAAAGTAAATCGGTCCCGGGCCTAGGTCTTACCATGAGACCTACGGTAATAGCTACTTCCCTATAAGAAAATTCGCTAAAACAAAAGATTTTTCAATTTATTTATAAACCATTTTGTAGAGCTTAAAAAAAGAAATAATTTAGAATATTGAAGCACTGTTGTATGCCTAACGTCATGGAGAAAATTAAAAAATAGTATGATTTAAAATTCCCATGTTATACTGATGGAGAACATTAAAACTGTTGTAGTTTACTTGTTTATGGACAAGCTTATATGTTGATAAAATTTGGCAAATTTATTAATTTCATCTTATAGGCCTACCATTGATGTATGGTCAAAAACACTTCCCCGTAGCAGCAAACCTAAGCACTCGTTAAATCTTGTTATTTAAATTGGGAATAAATAAGTATTATTTATAGAAATATTTTAGTAAAAATGTAATCAGACAAGTTGAAATTTGCTTGGTCTGCAGGTTTGCTGCGGCGGGGGTATTGTATCATAATTATTGTTGTTAGTTATATTGACCTGAGTTACACCGTAAAACATTCACTGTACTGAGAGATGCTTGGAAATAAAGTCATTTTATTTACTAACCTATTTATTTATCAAACTAGATCGGATGTATGACTTAAGTTAGACGGATAACTTATCGGACGGATATAAATCATATTTATATTTTCTGATTGAGCGATACAGTATCTTGAACTTAACTGATTAAAACTATTAAGGGTGTTTGGTCGCAAATTTTAATGCCTGATTTTTTGTTAGGCCTATTGTTTAATTGTACTAAAAATTAGAGATACAAATATATAAGAAAAAATTGTTTATTTTCAATACTAAGCGAGATATGGAGCTTGAAAGTAGTCAATTTTTAATCTTTAGTAGCCTACCAATTCACAGAGAGAATGGGTAATGCGATTCTCGCCAAAATTTGCATTCAGTTGTGGAAAAATAAGATAATAATCACTAGCCATTTAAAATAAAAAAATTAAAAAGAATTTAAACATAGCTGTTTGTTTTTGGGAAAAATGTAGGCTATCTGTATGCTGGAATAAAAAAAAAAGTGATATGTTAACTCGTTTGGGCTGTGAATTCGTACCTTTGATGCCTTGCGCTGTCGGAGCACTACTCGTTGAGAGTTTAAGTACACTAACACCGGGGCTTTAGAATACTTTAACATCACGTAATTATTAACATCCTTTAACATTGAAAGAATACGTTTATCGTTGTATTCTAAAGCCCCGGTGTTAGTGTACACACTCTCAACGAGTAGTGCTCCGACAGCGCAAGGCATCAAAGGTACGAATTCACAGCCCAAACGAGTTAACACATCACGTTTTTTGTTATTCTAACATGCCTCAGATACATTATATAGATATAGAAAAATTTGAACGAACGGTGTTTTTGGCCTCTGGGGACATCAAAATGAAAAAGTAAATCGGTCCCGGGCCTAGATCTTCCCATGAGACCTACGGTAATAACTTGGCTAACTTCCCTATAGGGAAATTAGCTAAAAAACAAGGTAGGCCTACACACTTAAAAAATGTGTGTTTCCTAATTTGTCGATGAGATACCTGGCTGAGTAGCTGAGTGGCTTAAGTGCTCGCCTGACAATCAAAAGGTCGCCAGTTCGATCCCGAGAAAAGTCGATAGCTTTTTGAAGGTACGAAACTAGATCCAGATGTACCTGATCCCCTCCAAGGCTTTAACCCTCCAAGTGTCTCTAGTTTTGGTCTTAATGTTCTCCCATTTATTGCGCAATCGCAGGGTTTTATTAAAATGTATCTTAGAAACTTAAAAACAATGTAAAGTATACTGTTTTGGCTGCACTTTACTTGACGTCCTACACTCATTCGAATGAAAATATCGATCGATATATATTGATTACATTGAAACCCATAATTTTCTAAACAAAATGATATATAAAACAGTGGCTGCACTTTACTTGACGTCCTACACTCATTCGATTGTTTTTTTTTTTCGATTCGATATTTTCATTCGATTGGTTTTTTTTCTGATTCGATATTTTCATTCGATTGCTTCATTCGATATATCGTTTGGTTAGTTAGGTAAGGTAAACCTATTCAACTAACCAAACGATATATCGAATGAAACAATCGAATGAAAATATCGAATCGGAAAAAAACCAATCGAATGAAAATATCGAATCGAAAAAAAAAAACAATCGAATGAGTGTAAGTTAGGACGTCAAGTAAAGTGCAGCCACTGTTTTATATATCATTTTGTTTAGAAAATTATGGGCTTCAATGTAACATATTTAAAACATTACAAAAAAAAAATGTTTAAACATTTTTGAGGGGTTAACATTTCTCAAAAATTATAAAATAAATGAAAAAATTTATGTTTGCGCTCAATAAATTGTTATAATTTATAGGTCTATAAATTATTTTAAAATTTTTCTAAGAATTTTTTTTAAGATTTTCTAAACCCAGTAAGTAAAACAGATTTTTGTTTTGAGCCTCGGCCTACATGGAAACACGGTTACAAAATTCCAAGTAAGTTATAGGCCTAACTTAAGCCCTACTAAAACTTAGTCCTAAGTAAATCTGACTTAGGAACAGGTAAATTATCTTAGCCTAGTTCTTGGCCTAATCAAACGAGAATAAGTTACCGAAGTTAACTTAAGCATGAAACGTTTAAGATTGCGACCATAAAGGTTTTGAACCAGGTTTTAAACTAACAATAAAATTTTAAAATATGCTAGGCCTATGAAAATCGTTCAAAATTACTTTGGTGGAATTGTGGATTACCGGCTTCGGCACACTATTCGCTCAACCATGTTAAACTCAATGTAAGATTCTTACTGGAAGTGGAAGACAAATGATTTTAACTAACAAATTAAAGTATATAAGAGTGCAGTGGGCCTAGATAAATTTTATGCACGGAATAAAGATGTGAAAGTTACCTTAAAATTCTTTGATGAAAATCTGTACTTCACGAGAAAGAGAATTAATTTCAACAATCCTTCTTGAGGTTACAGACAGGCAGACTTACGCACGGCGGCACGACACAAGAATCGCTTGCTGCTTGCAAGGAAAGAGAAAGAGAGAGATAGGGAGGAGGAAAAATACTACTAGAGTCAAAAATCGACAGTTTCAATCATTTGGTAGCAGCACATGGCTGTTGCCCTGAACCATGCGTTAATCTCATTTACAGCTATATTTTTATCCGTGAATAAAAACTTTTCAGTAAATTATGAAAAATGTACGATTTATATAATTTGGTTATGTTACATTAAATAATTGTTTTGAATCATTATACAAATAAGATTTGTTCAAATCTTAACTAACAGTGCTTGTTTCCGGGTCCAGAGTCTAGAAGTTACCGGCAGTTTATATAATAAACTAAAATAGCTTAAGTAGACAAATAGAATAAAATAAACTATTTAAGTAGGGTGTAATTTATTTATTTTTTAAATTTTATAAAAAAACATCTATGGTGTAAAACGATGATCAGCGTTTCGTTTATCTAAGTTATTTTGTGCTATATCACCGACAAGGTCAAAGCAGACATTTACATAAGTTGCATAATAATGTATACAATTATTTCCTCGGAAGTAAATGTTTGAAACAGTGCAAGCACTTCTAGAGTTGATTTTTTTCAAATATAGTCTTTAGTTTGTCTGTTAGGAATTGTAAAAAATAATTTTGCAAAGTGTATTATTGTTACATCAGCAGTGGCATACCGGCATCAATATCCCCCCCCCCCACTCCCACATAAAAACCTCAGCTGTCTCCGCTCATCCGCTGTCGGAACGGAATCGTAACCCCCTCCCTCCCCTCATTGTCTTCACCTCGCACCCCACCACGCGCCCGTCTGAATTTTGCCGTCATAGTTACAGTGAATTCTTTTTTCCAAAACTCAAATTAAAATTAAGTCGCTAAAACTTATATTTGGCAATTCATAGTACCACGCCATATCTCATCATAACTGTTTGCTGGACCGCACCAGGCTCTATAACAAATAAACATGGTAAGTAAATTGAACTTGGCTGCTTGAAACAATTTTTGAGGCTAGTCCCCGTTGCTTGATAGTTTTTATTACTTATTCGTCTTAAGCCTATTCCACTCTCACATCGATCGACGGAGGGCTTCAAGAAATGTTATGTTCCACCTATAACTTACTTGTCTGCCAATTTAGACAGATTATAATAATTTAAAGGCTCTTGGTTTATCTTAGCCCTAAGTTAATAGGAGCAAAGTAACATTAACTGAAGCCTAGCCCTACTTCAGGTCACAAACTGTACTTAAAGGCAGTGGCGGCGATAAGAACCCGCGGGCCCCCCTGTAAGTTTGTTCACCGGGCCCCCATCTCCCAATTATCTTTAAAAACATTTCCCCATGTATTACCGCCTAAACTTGCAATTTTGCAATAAACTTGACAAGGCATCTCCCGAGGCGTCATTATCGTCTTCCATGATCGCGGCAAAATCGTAAATACTTCCCGTAACTTATTCATAAGTCATGGAAGAAACATTATCATAGTTAACCGTGATTGCAAAACCTAACCTATGACATCATTAGATAGCAGCATCATCGTCTCCCGCGTTTACGGCCCAATCTAATATCACGGCCTAACTTAATATCTCCCCGCGACCCGTCGGTGGTGACGGGTAAATAATTTTTCTGAATCGCGGCTAAATCCTATATATATTTCTCGCTAAAAAAGAAACGTCATTATCGTCTTCCGCAATCGCAGCAAAATATTGAACATCTGCGGCCGCGGAGACATCGTCATCGTCATCCGCGGGGAAATGTTCTCGTCGATATCCGCGATAGCGGCAAAAGCGTAGGCCTAATCTTTCAATTTCGTGAGCGTGATCCTCACGGATATAAAAGCTTTTACTTTTAATTGTGCATTATTGTAATTTATTGAATACCTACTGAGAAAATCGGATCGAGCTTGATTTTCTGACTTTGTGCTTGATCTCTCAAGCTTGTAGTCCAGGCTCTGCTTGGCTCGAAAATCGACATTATAGGCCTACCTATTATAAAAATCAACCGTTTCCAAAGCAACCCGATTTTGAACCGATCTGATTTGGCCTGAGCCTGAGGCCCTTCGGTAAGTAGCATTTTTTACCTGACTCGATGTAAACACATCTAAAGTGCGAAGTAAACAAATCTAAAATGCAGCCTCCTAATAGTAAGACATGAAATTAAATGAAAATCCTTCTTTAGCATCAATGAAAGAATGGAATTATTTATTAGCTAGTGCCCTAGCCACCTAGGTTAATTTACCGATTTGGTCGGAACAAAATTGTCAAATTTATTTAGTAAAATCAGAAGAGGATCCTCTATGGTGTCACCCGCTGGGGGCTAGGAGGATTAACATTTAATTTTTTTATCTTCCTAGGCCAGAGGCCACATTGGTTATAAATAGGTACGGCCCTATTATTATGCAACCAATTTTGACTGCGCCTTCACACAATCCACGAGGACAGTTAATGCAACCCGCATGACTGATGACAGTTCTTTTACTTAGGTTGGTAACAATTCTTTTACTTAGGTTGGTAAATAAAGTTTAGCTGTTGTAAACTACTTGAACTATAGGTTTGAACAAATTTTCATCATAAAAAACATATTTTAATTCTCATCCTAAATATTGTTATGATAGGGGACCCGTATGGCTGAGTGTGTCACACTATCACGGGCCCGTGTGCCGGTAAAATTTACCGAAATTCCCGGTCAAGGCTCACAGGCCCCCCTAGCTCGCGGCCCCCCCCCCCGCACCGCGGGAGCCGCCACTGCTTAAAGGCCTAGCGTAGGCGTGGACTTTACCGTATCTGCTAATCTATTTTAGGCCCTATATTGTACCTTTATTTCTGGAACACTTAATTCAACTAAGTTTATTTATTGACAGAAAACACCATTTTTAAGTATAGGTAGCCTAGGTTAGTTTAGGCTACCCGTACTTTAACTTAACTCATAAGAAGACAGCAAAAAAGCGTAGACTATTAGGCCTACAAACTTAAATAAACCATACTAGGCTAGGCTGATTGTTTTATTGGTAATTAATTAATGTGTCTACAACGTGATAGGCTACCTATATCGTGTAATTTTTTGATGTGTTAAGTAACTTCTACAGTTTTTTTTCATGCTGAATCCAAACATGCTCTTTCTCTTTCCTTGCAAGCAGCAAGCGATTCTTGTGTCGTGCCGCCGTGCGTGAGTCTGCCTGTCTGTAACCTCAAGAAGGATTGTTGAAATTAATTCTCTTTCTCGTGAAGTACAGATTTTTATGAAAGAATTTTAAGGTAACCTTCACAACTTTATTCCGTGCATAACATTTAATTAGGCCCACTGCACTCTTATACACTTTAATTTGTTAGTTAAAATCAATTGCCTTCCACTTCCAGTAAGAATCTTACATTGAGTTTAACATGGTTGAACGAATAGTGTGCTGAAGCCGGTAATCCACAATTCCACCAAAGTAATTTTGAATGATTTTCATAGCATATTTTAAAATTTTATTGTTAGTTTGAAACCTGGTTCAAAACCTTTATGGTCGCAATCTTAAACGTTTCATGCTTTAAGTTAACTTCGGTAACTTATTCTCGTTTGATTAGGCCAAGAACTAAGATAATTTACCTGTTCCTAAGACAGATTTACTTAGGACTAAGTTTTAGTAGGGCTTAAGTTAGGCCTATAACTTAAGTTGCTTGGAATTTTGTAACCGTGTTTCCATGTAGGCCGAGGCTCAAAACAAAACTCTGTTTTACTGGGTTTAGAAAATCCCACTCTAAACTTAACCTATTAGCCTACTAGGCTCATAATGAATAAGTTAAGACATTCACTGCGGCGTATACGAGCGGTGTTAGGGTGCAGCCGTAACCGATCGGTACGCTCAACAATGCCCTTCGTAACTTATATCTTTGTTTTTGCTCTCTAGCGTCGGTTGAAGGCAGATCTTTATAACACGTTAGCATCTTAAGTGTGACTTGCTCTTTGTTGTGATGTAGGTTGGTAGTAAAATCCCCGTCTAGCAAGCTTAAAAATCTACTTGTTAACCCGTCTTTCTCCCTCCAATTGCCAATACGATGGAACTGGCTACGTTCCAAGTACGTGCTGCTATCTGTGAATGTTGTAGCAAACGACGACGACTCTCGTCGTAAAGCGGGACATCACTACACAAATCCTACATTCACGTCAGCAAGTGTCAGGGATGTTCTTTGATTTTAGTAAAGCATTTGACCTCGTGAACCATGACAATACTATTGAGCAAAATGAATGATCTGGGTATATTAGAAGAGTTGCCCATGCCTGGTCTTCTTTGTACCTGAATGACATATGACAGTTACGATATCAGCTGTTAATAAAAAAAGCTACTTGCAGAACCATTCCTCTTCAGGAGCCGTAGTCAGCAGAGGTGTGCCCCAGGTCTCCTTTTTGGGTCCGATTCTCTTGTCTTCCTCATCTTAATAATTAATGTTCCATCCAACTTGAATCTAGCAAACCTATGCCTATTTGCCGATGACACTTCTATCACCATTTCAAATCCTAGTATGCAGGCCTTAGAACAGACCTCATTTCTTGAAGCAACAGCCTGCTTCAGTGGTGTGAGGATAATCAACTAATGTCAACAAAACCATACTCCTTCAATTTAGCATTTCTCAGCTTCGCCACAGAAAACATACTACTATAACCCAGAATGCCAACCGCGTGGTAAAAAGCATTAAGTGTTTTGAGAGAGCTTTGCCTGTCAATCGTAGGCAGCGCCACCAGCATTGCTATGCTAAATGCATGGCAACGCTGGTGGCACTGCCTACGATTGACAGGCAAAGCTCTCTCAAAACACTTAATGCTTTTTACCACGCGGTTGGCATTCTGGGTTATAGTAATATGTTTTCTGTGGCTTCGCACACCCACTGACATTGAGATACCACTCTTGAAGATACCGCTATTTGCCCCTCCCCAGATGTAAAGTTCCTTGGTTTAATTCTTGACGAGAACCTCAAATTTCACAAGCATATCGATCACGTTTCAAACAAGATATTTGTAGGGATTTTCGTGCTCCGTACTCTCAAACATACAGTTTTGTCTGAGGTTCTCTTTAATTTAATTTGGATTCATTAATTTCATTGTTTAATTGCAAGTGGGGCTTTAATAATAAATATACAGATTCTACTAGTTCAACTTTATATTTGATTTGATGAGTGAGTATAAATCACCAAATGAACATTTGTCGTGAATCAATAGTTAAAATTAATACATTAAGGGTATGTACTCTTTTGTAACAGTGTAAAGTGCGCTGTAAAATGCAAGTACCGTGCCTAGGTTTCTTGCCTTCACCGGACGCCTTCAAGTGCAGAACGAATGCATTTCAGAACGCAACCACGGATTTCGGCTTGGGCTGGCGATCCAGTAGAAGTTATATATCGATGATCATCTCAAAACTTTCTTCACTCACATTTGGGTTAAAATATGTGACCTAGGTGGCGTCTCCATCTCAATTGTTAATTATGCTTAGTATATAATTAATTGTTAGCATAATATTCAACTCCCACAATGTATTCAACTGTAGTCAAACGATGCTTGCAAGACAAAAGGGCGCTTAAGTAACTTGTGATATTCCTATGTACGCCACTTTGTCTTGCAAGTAACGATTTGTTTGCCCGTCGGCTTCACTAGCTTTAGTCTGAGTGCTGCTAACTTAATTAATCTTCGTTTAAGAATTAATTTGGTCACACAAGTTTTGGTTCACCTATTTATCATTTCTATGTTTCATACTTCTGTAAATGATTTATTCGCTTCCTGCAACAATTTTCGTGCTTGTGATGTCCTAATTTTTGCTCCTCAGTCAGAATCATTGTAAATTCTTCTACCACATGAATTTTTACTAGTATTACGACCAAGGCCAGAATGGTCCACTTTGAACAGATGATGTGAGTGGTTCACTTCAGTGCTCTTATTTCTTGGGAACAACAATTCACAGCCAATCTACTCTGTAAATTATTTCTAAATCAAGGCATTATATTTAGGTACTGTAAGTTTTTAACTATTGTGTTTTAGTCTTTGGCTGGAATTGCGAAGAAACTGATTCCCCTCTTTGACCGAGTGTTGATCCAAAGGGCAGAAGCAATCACTAAGACAAAGGGAGGAATCGTCTTGCCCGATAAAGCTGTCGGCAAGGTTCTCCACGGGACTGTTATCGCCGTAGGACCTGGAGCTAGGAATCAAGTAAGTTACACAGTATTTTTATCGTTAAGTTAAAATACATGAATGAGTTGAAAATTGCCCATGAAACATTTTGTCATGCAGAATTTCTAGGTTAGTTTTTGAATTTTGTTGTTTTTTCCTCTCTTTTAGGATTCCTCTCTCATTAAAAATAACTCATCTAACTTAACCCTTTTAGTGCTACAGCGTCGCTGACAGTGACATGATGAAAAGTGCTAGAGGATTTTGACCAAATAAGCAAGCTTTTAGAAAAAAACTCTTATCTCCCTTATTTATATATATTTTTTAACAGTTTTTTTTTTGTTTTTTACAAAAATGAATGCACTAAACAATATTGCTTCATCTGTTACATTTTAGGTTCACCAAAAAAATTTATTTTACAAAATAATAAAATCTCATTTTACAAAAAAAAAAAAAAAAAAGTTTGATATGAAATAAGTTCTGTTGGATTTTTTTTTAAATGGTTATATGTTTTATCACTGTAAAAAGAATACTTTTGTGATCATTTTGATAAAAAAATTATGCATTTACACATCATACAATGTTTTTTAGAACATAAAACAAATGTCATGACATTTTACGGAAAACCCGAAGCACCATCAAAATGTTTTATAACTACCCCATTTGTCAATATAGTTGAATAATGTGACTTTATTTATCACATAACTAAATGTGGTAAAGGATTTTAGTAATTTTGTTAGTGATATAGGTGTATTGCCATGAAAAGATCTATGATGAAATGATAAATTTGATTTACCGACATTTTATTTTCTAAGTTTTACATGAAATAAAACTAGTTAGATAATGTACCAATATTTTTATTTTGCTCTTATTACAAAAAGCATTATTTCATGAATATTTTGGTGAAAAAATTGTCACCCTATGTGTCTAAACTTTTTTTTTATAAATAAAACACACAAAGTGGTAATTGGCGCATATTTACATAATTACATATTGGTACAAATACAGATATAATTCATTGCTAAGGGGGGTATTGTGATTGACAACTTAGCAAAGACAGGCTAATAAACTAAAAAAAACAACTAAATATTAGAAGAAAAAATCTTACCATTTTGAGTAGGCCAGGTCATTTCAGTTTCCATGGTAACGGACGGTCAAATTATCCATGTCTAAAAGTTGTCTTATCCTATGCAACTAAAAATGTATTTACATATTTACAAGTCTTCACTTAGTTCATTAGTCTTTTATGTTTATCAACACCTATGGTGCTGGATGCACTCAGGATGTAGTCCTTTGTCACAGCGCACACACACAAATGCTGATCGGTGTTTGCTATTCTCAGTGCTGCATACCTTGCAGATCCGCAATTTTCTTCCTGGTAACTTTTTCACCCCAAAAAGGTTAGCAGGTCCACCTTGAGGTTGTGGTTGAGCAGGTAGGGTTTGTTGTTTGGTAAGGATCCATTCCTTACCAAGGTCGTGTACCAATGACTGCATGAATTTGATACGGGTCATAGGCTTTACGTTGTTCTGTTTGACATTTTCCTTGTATAATATATATGCGTTCAAAATCATGCGCGAGAATAGACTAAAAACTACTTTCTTCCAAACTTTAACAGTCCTACGCTCATCCATATATGCATACACCATCATGTCAGAGATATCTATTCCCCCCATATATTTATTGTATTCCAAAATGACATCTGGCTTGTTGACAACTTCTTCCCCTACCTGCCTCCTAACTCTAAGCCTGACTTCACTGGTTGTTGCCTGAGATGCAGTGGAAATCAACAATACCTGTTTTTTTTGAGTTTTTTTATCTCTAAACCCACACAAAAGAAGAAACCCTTTTTTGAAAAATCTCGTAACACCGACACCAAATTTTGATTTTACTGCGTCAGGTAGGCCCTTACGATTGGATCGAATGGTTGCGGTGTAGTATGTTCCAAGCTCATACAATCGAGATGCAAGGGGGATGGAAGCAAAAAAGTTATCTGTAAAGACATGAAACCCTTTATTTAGGTAATTACCTAAGGTGAGAAGTTTTTTTACTACAACAAATCCTTGGCCGAATTCCTTTTGCTCCTGTTTTTCTTCAGATGGGACACGTGCACCTTTATATACAAAAAAACCCAACACATAATTTGTTACGGAGTCACACAACATCCACACCTTCACTCCCCATCTGTGATGTTGTTTTTTAGGTAAGTACTGTTGTAATACTGTATGTGACTTAGTTCCGATGAGAGACTCGTCAACCGAAAGCTGCTCATGTGGAGTATAATAGTGGCGAAATAAGACGTTTGCGTGGTCTACAAGAGGCTGGAACTTTGCACATGGATCAGGTCTTCTTCGGGCAATGACATCATTGTTCACCAGATGGAAAAACCGTAACAACAGTTGAAACCTATCTCTTGTAAACATTTGTGGAAACCACGGTGTAGCCATTCCGGGGATAGTGGACCAGTAGGAGTATATTGTTGGCTTTCTAATTATGCCCATATTGAAAATGCAAGCAATAAAACCTTTGATCTCTGGAACGCAAGTCGGTAACCACTTCTTGGTTCTAGAGTTATCACTGAACTCAGAACGCTCCAAACATTGTGATGCATATTTATTTGTTTCTCTAACTATGCTGTTTAGAAGCAAAGTTGTGAAAAACAAATTGAAATATGAAACTGGGGGGGAATCTGGTGGTGGCATATGCTTTGGTCCTGGAAGTTCATGGTATGTTACTGGACGAAGTGGGAAATCAACATCAGGTCCAATTTCTTCCCAAATGTCTCCATCCGGTGCATTACCTGTAATTGGGTTTTCATGTGCAATAGGGTCTAGCTGTATGGGCGGGTTCACTATTTGGTTAGGTTCATCTAGGCCTACCATGGCAATAGGGTCTGGCTGTATGGGCGGGTTCACAATTAGGTTAGGTTCATCTAGGCCTACCATGGCAATAGGGTCTGGCTGTATGGGCGGGTTCACAATTAGGTTAGGTTCATCTAGGCCTACCGTGGCAATAGGGTCTGGATATGCGGTCGGGTTCAATATTTCGTCAGGTTCATCGACCATCTCCTCCTCAAAAGTGGATTGGACATTCCTAATCGGACTTATAGGAGGAGAATGGTGAGGATTTCGTCTACGTTTGGAAATGATTTGCTCTAACCTGGATGGTTTTCTCTTTTTGGGCGTCGACGACACAAATTCTTGTGTAGGCCCACTGTCGATCGATTCGTCTGCACTGTCGTCCTCAGAAGATGGTATGTAATCCATGTCTTCGTCAGTATCGTCAGCTTCACTTGGCGAATCCGATTCATCATCTGTCGTAGGTACGTCGTCATCCTCCTCTTCAAAATCGGAAATATTCTGTGTCAATTGGTCACTAAAAGACTGGTCAATTGTTAGTGTCCCAGTGTCATTTGAAGAGATATCACTGATCAAGGCACGAAGCCTTTCCTCGTCCCCGGCAAAGTTATCACGATCCATTGTTTCGAAAAAGTTCACCAATGATCCACATTACAACAACTCGTTTTATAAATAGGCCTAACTCGCAAAACTACACAATATCTATACGAATCTAAAAAAAGAGCACAAACTAGAAAACAAAACTTTATACACAAAAAAGTAAATAACTTTGTTTCAAAACAAACAAACAGCGCAAAACGATATGTTATCCGTCGTCAGTCAAAGCGTCACTGCGCACAAAGAAACAAAGAATTGAAATGTAAACAGCTGACCGCTAGCGACAGTAAAAGAGCGAAATGAACCGGCGATCGATAATTTGAAGCTTTTGGAACATACTGACGCATTAACCAGCCAATGCATCCATGGCAACAATGCGTACTATACGAAATACGAATAGTCGCTGTGAGCGACGCTCGCACTTTAGTGTAAAAATACATCGTCGCTGGCAGCGACGCTGTAGCACTAAAAGGGTTAAATTTGTTCCAACTTTTTTCACTTATTTTTACCATCCCCACTTGTATATCAAATTGTAAGTTAATGTTAATAGTTTCTTTATCCAATCTCAAGAGTGTTTTACAATTAGACCACACTAAGTAAATAAAACTGTCTAAAGAACTTCAATTGATTTTAGTCTTGAACTGGGGCAGTGGCAGTCTGCACATTAAACTTCTGTTAGCATTTAAAAGGTTACTATTCCAAAATAAATTTCAATCAGCCAGAAAACCCTTGGCCTTATGCTAGAAAACAAACATTGTCTCATATGTTAAATCCCCATAATAGTACCATATACCGGTACCGGTACTGTGTGTCGCCAAAGCTATCCATAAAGTGTCTGGTTCAATTTACCTTAGCGTCAAAGTGTTTCCTCTATGCTTCATATTAAATACTAGACCTAATTTTAATAGCCTGAGCATTTTCTTTAGGTCTGTCACTTGTATTAAAATAAACTCTGCAACAGTAAATTTTGCCATCTATGCAATTGAAATTTAATGTCACAGATTAATACCGTACATCCAATTATATTTAATTTGTGTTGATCAAAATTGTTGTAAATGTCATTTGAGATTAGTCTGGTACCTATCTGAAGGACTAGTTAAACAACGTTTTTAGGTTTAGGCACTATACTGTACTGTACATGGACTACCCTAATAAGGATAATAAATGTGTAAAATTTAACCAAAGAATATGATTTTAAAAGTTTTAATTACAGATATTAGACGATCTATACAATGGCAGAAGCAACTAGGATGGTTTTTGACTAAAAAGACTCCATAAAGTTATCATTAGGCAGCACAACGATGTATTGTTTATGTCACATGAAGATTGTTAATATTCGTAACAACAAACATTTTAACACAAAGAACAGTTGTATACAACACATTTACTGATCAGTCAAAGAATAACTTCCAGACTGCAGTTCAGTATGTACAAGCGGTGTTCCTTTTGTTAAGAATACGTTTAAAATAAATATGTACGTAAATAGTAAAATCCCAATAGTTTTTGTTACTTTGTTTTCTGTATTAAAACTAGGCTATCTAGATAACTTACTTGACTGCCCCTGGATATTTTATTTAATAAATCTCAAAATAAAAAAGGTAAAAACCTGGGAAGAGGGTCGAAGGATTTGTACATTTTTCGAGTTCTTAAGGTTGTTTAAATGTTGATGGATATATTTAGTTGTTATAGTCACATTTCATAAACTACCGCTTAAGTGGTAAATTAATAAGCAATTGTAAACTCCTTGTTCCCTGTCCCTAATGGCCATAAAAAAATATGGCAGAAACGTAAAAGGAATATAATATGCTAACATAAATCGTGCTTAGGCTTTTAAAATATTTATAAAACGCAAACTGAAATGTTGGTCTCTTATGAAACTCGTACCATTTCAGTCTCTTACTTCAGTAAATCACGTAAAATTGTGTACACAAAATGTTTGTCATACATGAGTGTTGTTACAGAAAGGAGATATCGTTCCTCCGACAATTAAGGTGGGTGACCGCGTCCTGTTGCCGGAATACGGAGGCACGAAGGTCGAACTTGAGGAGTCTCAAGAATACCACTTATTCAGGGAATCCGACATCCTGGCAAAACTAGAATGAACATTACTGTAATTTGTAGATGTTGTTGTTGACTATTTGTAAGCTAGCCGAACTGAATGAATGCATTTCTGTGAATAGTGTGGCTGCCCTTTATTGTTTCAGTTACAATCCATTTAGATAGATTTTTTTGTATATGAAAATAAAAGTGTTAAAAGCAAAAGTGTTTTAATAATCCTGTTTGCTACTCTTGGGATTAATTGTTTTAAAGTTATCTCATTAATTGTGATAGGAAGTGTTATCTGAGATAAGTGACCTCGGTAGTAGTTGTAAGAAAGTTGAATGCAACAGATAAAGTTAGAGTTTATCCAAGGTCATGGGTTGGGATGCACTTCCTGCTTTTTTATGGATGTTTTAAAAGATTTGTTTTATACAATTTTTAACGTTAACTTAAAAAGAGGAGATTTTTGTCAGTCCTGCATCCATGATTTTAAAGCATGTATTGGACGAGGAAAATGTTTCAGTACCGTAGTCAATACCAGTAATAATGAAATTTTTAATAACAAATTTTCCGTAAAATAAGGATTTTGACAATAATGACTCGAAAGATTTTCTTTTCTAAACAAAATGGTACAACTCCCAATGGTGTAAAAATTATGGTTCAAAAGCTATTGCAACTTAAGTGATTTTCCATAAAATAACGGAAAAGTTAGATTTTTTCAACAAACACAGCCCAACTAATTTAGATTATAATTTATTATAATAATATAATACTTTTTGAACTCTAAACAAATGGTTTAACCCCCAATAGCATTTCACTCTTTCAGGCCCCTGAGGAACACATGATGAAAGAATTGATTCACAACTATCTCATCTATCAAGAGTTCAAGGCAGACAGCTCACAAAAACTGCTCTACATTATTACAGTAAACCCTCTCTTAACAAACCAGATCTAGGCCACATAACCTAAAATGACAGAAGGGGTGGGGGAAACAAATCACCCCTCCACAGGATTTTTTTCAGAGGGAGTAGAACAAAAGTATTAAGAAAGAAGCATACCAATAAACAGCAATAAATATTTATTAAAATTATCTCTAGCAACGTAACAACTAATACTGTAGCAGTAGGTATTGCTTGTTTACACAATGATGTGTGGGGCTTCAGGAGCCGTGCGTTGTCGCATGTCACCTGAGCCGGGCCAGGCACGTACTGGGCTTGGTAGGTCGAGCACGCTGCGAGGCAAAGCTTCCACTGAGAGGCTCGGCTCGTTCAGACCATTAGCTTTGAGTCTGCGTTGGGCTGCAATACTGGCACGGAGTGTTTTACGTTTCTGAAACAGTTGTAATCTTGACAAAATGTATTTCAACTTGATTAGATAACCAATCAAGATGAGGACGCTACTAACCCGAGGTTGAGAAAAGCCGAGTGAGATTACAAGAGTTAGATGCTGAGTGAGTGTGTGTGTGTGTGTTACCCAATCACATAAAAAGTACTGAACCGACTGGGCTTAAATTTCACAAAAATTTGAACCTTACTTGTTCCATTAAAAAACTTGTAAGTTTATTAATGGGAAATTATAACTATAGTTGTAATGCCGATAATTGTTTAATCATTTACTATTGTTTTGGTGCAGTGGTAGAACGTTATGGTAGATGTGTAACTACAGATCCGTGTGTGGAACGTATCCAGCAAAGCAAGGGGTGAGCCGGTACAGTACAAAGGTGAACTGTACTGATAAAAGTTAGCGGCAGTGACCAGGATCCGAACCCACGACACTTCAGCCTTGGGCCCGAAGTCCGCAACGCTACCGACTGAGCCACCGACTCACAAACAATACTGTTTGTGAAACATGTATGTTGAAACACAGTTTCAATATAATCCTTATAGAAGCAGTATTTGACACATAAACAAAGGTATAAGATCAGCTGGTGACTTTTGAATGAATGAGTATGGAACACTGATGACTCCGCTCAATTTTGTGGATGCCTCAGCAAACGCCACCTAGTTTAATCATCTACTGATTTAGAAGCAACAATGGAAAAAGAACATAATTTTATCATAAATTAATTATGTTAATTAGTTATGTGTTAAAATTAGTTAATTATGTGTCTTTAGGTAAATACTAGCAGAGTACCCGTCCTTCGTATGGGGTTGGCATAAGTTTAAAATGCTTATTGCAGTTATACTCAAGCTTTGCGTTTGCAATGGGGGAGGAAAAAGTTTGATCAAATTTGCTTCTTTAAATTGACGGTATAGGCTACTAATGGTATTACACATCTACTATAGCCATAATGTTCTACCAACTCACCTAAACAATAAAGAAAAATAAATCATCACAAATTCACAAAAAATCACAAATTATTCATGACATTAAAAACATAAACATAACTGTAAACAATCCTACTTTGACAGTTCCCATTGCGTATCACAGTTTTTTGTTGCTGCTTAGTTCAAATTAGCTGTTTAAATAAATGCCAAAAAAACTAGTGCTGCACCCTGGTGGTAAATCTTATAACTTTTTAATGCTTTTGTATATCATAGAACCAACTTCATTAGTTGAAACAGCTGACTAAATTCTTTAATTCCCTTTAAATATGAATACTCATAAGGTTGATACGGGGAACTGCAGAGCCACTGAGGCGGAGCCCGAAAGGATTTTTGAGATAAGAATATGCCTATATGTTAATCGGGAATGTGAGCTATCATCATGCCAAATTTCAGCCCAATCTGTCCAGTGGTTTATGCGCGATTGAACTTCAAACAAACACACAAACTTTCACATTTATAATATTAGTAAGAAGTAAGATAATTATTAGTGCATTTATACACTCTTCATTATACAAATTATCAATTCTTTGAGACAGTGCGGTAATTGATGATAAAAATATGGTTTTGGTAATTGAGTTCTGGCGTCTAGGTAACCCACCTGATAATTCTCGCAAAGGGTAATAATTTAATAAATGACTCATTTACTGAGTTTCAGCCTCATAGTTAGATCCAGGATCAGCCCCCCCCCTTAATTGTATATTGGTGACTACCTGTTTAAAAATTATTAGTTGATTACCTATCTCTTCATCATTAACTTTGTCTCCCAAGACTGGTAAGGAGAATATTTACAATGAATGATTAACAACCACAGTAAAAAATAAATTTTTTCCAGCTCCAACATTTTTTCCCTTACTGCAACATACAACTCTAGTGATTTTGTACTGATAACTACCGTAATAGCTCCACGCCACTTGTCTGCCGCATGTCTTGCTAGTTCCATGCGTTTCTGCTTGCGAATCTGATGCTTCTTGTATACCATCTCAATGATGATTAGACCGATGCCCCCTACAATCCCTGCCGCCACCAGTATAAACACCCCTGCCATGTTCTTCAGTCCCAACGTGTTGGGCGTTTTCTCGTACTGCTCACATTGCTGCAGGTTTCCCTGTAGAATCCACTTGTTGTCAAGACTTTCCATGAAGCCACCTAAGAACAGGAAGAGTTGGTTCACAAGGTGAAATAAGCCAACAAAAAGTAAAAATAGAATGACTGGTGCAATAAGAAAGAAGATAGTTCTCCTCCTTTGAGATACACCCACAGCTTAAAGTGGGTTTCATACCAACATGTTGGAGCATAATGACATGCAGCCTTTGGTGATTGGAGGGATTCAACTGTTGTCATTCAGAAAAGGAAGAGATCCTGCGAACCCCGATTATGTATATACTTATAGTCATTCAGGATTGGAAGAGATCATGCGAACCCCGATTATGTATATACTTATAGTCATTCAGGATTGGAAGAGATCATGCGAACTCCGATTATGTATATACTTATAGTCATTCAGGATTGGAAGAGATCATGCGAACCCCTATTATGTATATACTTATAGTTGTTCAGGATAGGAAGAGATCATGCGAACCCCTATTATGTATATAGGTACTTATAGTTGTTCAGGATAGGAAGAGATCATGCGAACCCCTATTATGTATATAGGTACTTATAGTTATTCAGGATAGGAAGAGATCATGCGAACCCCTATTATGTATATACTTATAGTTATTCAGGATAGGAAGGAACATTCCTTTTTATGTCCCTTTAAGAATTTTTATAAGTATCGGGAGAAAATAAGAGATAGGTTTTTGTTTTTAATGTGTGTATCAAAGGGATTTGTGAAAAGAATAATCAAGTAATATACAGACTAAACCTCGTCAATGTGAAAATTCTTAAAATTAAACCATTAGGACTCACACTTTCAAAACTTCAAACTCAAAAGACAAAATGGCTTACTTTCCTATTCTCATTCCTGTTCAACCAACAACAATCACATTAGTTCAAATCAGCTGTTTACATAAATGAAAAAAAAACTCAAATAAAATCAGATAAGGTATTAATATGATACCGAATTATTTGAGATCACAAACATACGATCGCAGCTTAATTAGCTTAGTCAATAAAAAATAGAATGACAAAAAGACTGTCTAGCAGACGAAAGTATAATGGGCTACATACTTTCATGGAAATTGAGTATTTCTAGAGTAACAACATCCGCCCATGGTGATCCCTTCTGTAAGCCGATGCCGTATCCAGACCTTCCGAACAGTTCTCCAGCTGTCACTAACTCACAGTCTTGAGCAGCTTCAAAGTCTAGTCGAGAACTGTCCCAGATGAAGGCCATCAGCTTCCTGTCAATGAATAAATAAATATTGAGTAAAAGGTAAATACAACACTATTGATTAGATTAGTGTACCTATCAAATTTTGTGTTACGCCTCACTGGTTAATGGTTTTAAAACCTCAATAGACAAAGCAAAACAACAAAACTTACATTTCAAACAATTTAACACATGACTATATATAATAAAATAAAACAGTCTTTCAGAAATGAAAAAAAAAACAGTCATCAGCAAACGTTAATTTAAAAGAGATATTGAGGTTTTAAAACCGTGATAACCATGTTAGGTATAGAATGACACAAAAAACCTACATCCTTAGCTTTAGTAACTGTAAACTTGTTTTCCTTGTTAGATCACATGAGAGGGAGATTCTAAACTCTATTTGTTGACTTTTGCTTGCATAGATAGTTATTATATTAGTCAAGGTTTTGCTACTATTCGTAACATGGGGAGCGAGCTGGTCTAGTGGTTAGAGCGCAGGACTTCGGTGCCTGAAGTCCCGGGTTCAAATCCCGCAAAATCACCAATGAATATTATCTAAGTGATAATGCCGCAACCCCTAGGTCTGGCCTGAAGTAATGTGAAAAACAATCCCAAGCTCGTGCCTAGCGTCCTAGGACAAAAAAAAAAAAAAAAAAAAAAAAAAAAAAACTATTCGTAACATATCTGATGTTTCAATCCTTGAGGCTAGAGAATCATTTAAACATTTGATTCTTAACAACTTTCAATCAACAATGATTACCATACAGTACAATATTTTGGGTCTCAAGCAAATCCAGGAATAATGTGTTATCAAACCCTGTCTTGACATCACGGATTGCTTCCTCAGCTGTGTTGTAGTTGTTGGCCTCCATTGTTCTGTACATATTGCTGAGCTCTACCTGCCGCCTGAAGTACATGTCCACTGCAGACCCCTTCACTGTGGCGCATGTCAGGTTTTCCATTGTGTTTCTCAGCTGCAAACAAATAGGAAATAGTTATTTGTGCAACTAGTGAGAAAAGTGAGCAATTGACTCACTCGAGAGAAATCCTTACTCACGAGCCGTAGGCGAGTGAGGAATGGTTTCTCGAGTGAGGCAATTGTACTTTGAACTCGAGTTGCACATTATACTTTTCCTACAGTTACCATAAAACAAATAAATTGGTGAAGAAACATAACCTATGTTTACACAGAAGTGAACTTTTAATATAACATTTAACGTGAAGTGACAAACACAACAGTACAACAGCTGACCAGCTGATTTACAGCCAGTGCTGCCAACGTATTTCGCGCGCATACGACGTTGCCTGCATGTTACTATTTCGTGCCTTCACGTTGCAAATCTGGAGTGAGACAAAGTAATCAGAGATGAGCGAAAAAAGCTGATGAGCGAATTGGCCACTTTGCTTTCTCAAATCAGTGAGAGAACATGTACATTGTTAGGTAACTGTAGGAAAAAAACATAGTCTATGTAATTTGTAAATTTCCCATCAAACTATGATTCCATTCTACAGACCATCAGTACTGACCAATGGCCATTAAGTAATAACCTTGTGGAAGATATATGGGCCCATGTGTGACCAAGGAGAGTGGAGGAGGAAAACAATAGGGAAATTAGAGCTGTATAACAGTGCAAATATTGTGAGTAAGATAAAGTGTAGAAGATGGACACGTGATGATGAAGGAAGAAACGTCTCAACTGAAAGTACCGTAGTCAGTAGTAGAAATAACCCCGAAGGAAGGCGACCTCGTGGGAGAACGAAACAGAGATGGTGGGACCAGGTCAAGTCAGATATGCAGAGAGTTGCAGCCACTGAACAGGATACAGAGGACCGGTCGAATTGGAGAGGATTTGGTGCGGCTAAATATCACCTACGATATACATGGCCCTGGGACTACACCAGTAAGTAAATTTATTTTTTATCACGACCTCTCTCATCTCCATTATACAATTGTCCTTAGATAGCAAGACCTATAGTTTACCAAGCTGTGCACAAATCTACTGTGCAATCATGATATTGCAACCGCATATGCAAGTACAGTTTGGTACACAGTGGTTCTTGGTCCACTAAAGTAGTTCCTGCAATTCATTGCAGTTATCTTACTACCTAAAATAATTAATGTGGCTTAACAATTTATAAATGAGTAGCCTTAAGACTAAAAATATTTAAAAAGTTTATGCCCGCTCGCAACTTCAAAGGCTTATACTTATCTTCATATATGTATATGTATCATATATGTTTATCTGTATACATTCATTCATAGATTACAGTGAAAATTACTTAAACCCTCAAAAATTTGTAAAACTGTAAGTAGTTTTGTTAGAGAAATGTTAAAACAAACACATAGTGGAGTAGCAAGATGTACATAGGGTCAAATAATGTATACAGGAACTTAATAAAAGGTTCAGGAAAAGCTATAAATAAAAAAAATGTTTAAAAAGTATGTAATCGATTCATCTAATAGCTACTCTGGTAACTTAAATCTTTATTTGTTGATGCTGGCAATCCAGAGAATAATCTCTGTGTTATTTGTATATACCCGAGCGTCGTTGATCCCTGTAAGTTTGGTCTTCGGCCGCTCTAACACGAGGAAAGCAGCCAGGTTGGCAGTGTAAGAGGCTACGATGATCATAGCAAAGCCTGCCCAGACCATACCCAACACTCGAGCTGAGAAACTGCGGGGTACGCCTGCAATCAAAAAAGGTGTATACAGAACATTTCCTATTAGAAGTCTTGGTTTTAATCTATGAAAAAATAATAAGAGATTGCTTTGGTTACACCATTTTGTGATCTTCTTAAAAATTGTTACAACACAAATGGTATCTTCTTGTTGAGTAAAAACTATTTCAATAAATGTAGTCAGCTACATGGCATAGAATGAGAGTGTAAAGTTTAACTATAAAACCGTATACAATAAAAACACCATCCATTGTTGGATATGTATATTTAAAAAAAAAATGTCAGTAGCAAGATGTACATAGGGTCAAATAATGTATACAGGAACTAAATAAAAGGTACAAGAAAAGTTAAATAAAAAAGAGATTTTATACCAATTTCTGAATTCTATAACAGGTGGCAAACCCATAGAATTGGTATTTATAAAAGTACTGTGTATTCAAATAATTTACAATCCTGCAATTTGGCACCGAGTTTGAAAAGTTAGGTAGGTAACGCCAACAAAGGTTACATCTTACTAATATTATAAATCTGAAAGTTTGTGAGTTTGTGTGTATGTTTGTGTGTTGCTCAATCACGCATAAACTACTGGACGGATTGGGCTGAAATTTGGCATGATGATAGCTCACATTCCCTATTAACATTTAGGCATATTCTTATCTCAAAAATCCTTTCGGGCTCCGCCCCAATGGGTCTGTAGTTCCCCATGTTAACCTTATGAGTATTCATATTTAAAGGGAATTAAAGAATTTAGTCAGCTGTTTCAACTTTACAAGTTGGTTCTATAATATGCAATAGCATTAAAAAGTTATAAGGTTTCCCAACAGGGTGCAGCAGTATTATTATTTTGTTTGTGCATATATGACAACAGCTAATTTGAACTAAGCAGCAACAAAAAGCTGTGATACACAATGAGAACTGTCAAAGTAGGATTGTTTACAGTTAGGTTTGAGTTTTTAATTTAATGAATAATTTGTGATATTGTACGAATGTTTGATAATTTATTTTTTTATATTGTTTAGGTGCAATATTAGAACATTATGGCAATGGTAGATGTGTTATACTATATCATACCGTAAATTTATGAACCAAATTTTATCAAACTGTGTCCTCCCCCATTGCAAACGCAAAGCTTGAGTATAACTGCAATAAGCACTTTATACTTATATGCCAACCCCGTACGAAGGACGGGTGCTCTGCTAGTTTTAAATAACCCTTGGATCGAGTAGCTGAAGTTAAACAAGTTCTATTCAATCAAGTATGTAAGTAACTAAAGTTAATTAAGAATTGAAAATTAAGGACATGGAAACATTATGGTACTGACACACATTTAATTCTTGAAGAACAATGATCAAATGGCCTTGGTTTAAATTCTCTTGATCATAGACCATTATCTGATTGTAACTATTACTTTTAAGGTTTTAGGATTGGAAACAATACATTCTGATTAGTATGGAAGGTTTTTGTAAATTGCTTACCCTCCCCGATTCCACTGTTCAACAGGACACCCCAAGCAAACCAGATGGCACTGGAAAGGTTAAGAGCGTCTTCCTCTGTACTGTCCGTGTTGGCAAGCCTGTATCTGCCGAAGGGTGAGAAGCGATCGAGGAGGTAGAGTACCAAAGCGACAACATGCACCGAGACCATAACTAGGATCCAAAGAGTGTTGCTGAACGGCTGCAGAAATGACACCAAGGTGGATGATCGTGATGGCTGTATTGAAAAAAACAAAAGATATTATTTTTTTCATGTGTCGTTTATATCACTATCAAGTTATCTATAATAAATACAATTTATATCCTGAATTTTCAAAAGTTCATAAAAATAGTTAGATTTTAATCATAACTTTTAATCATAATTTAACATCTTGTGTTACATACATTCCCTCGTGTTAAATAAATCTGATCAACGGTAATATTTAAATTCCAATGCAATGTATAAGTTTGCTGTTAAGTGAAATCCAAAATAAATTTAAAAGAGGTTCACCTTCTTCTCGAGAATGGTGATGCCCTGGTACTTGAAAGGTTTGCTGAACTCTATAAACTCAGCTCGCTCAGGGTTGATGGTCAAAGGAGCGACAATCATATCAGCTCTCTCGGCCACCAGCTCACCAATCAGTCCAGTCCACTCCTTCTTTCCTCCTGTAACGGTTGAAATCTTCACACATTTTTGCAAAGAATAAAATGTATGAGTGTGTCACACCTTGAACCTCTCTGACGTCTTACAATACAGAGGTTGTCAATCATTGAGTACAATCATTGACTTTTTGTACAATCTTTGAATATTGATAGAACTACACGTTCTTATCCCCATTTTTATAAGTTGTCACCAGTTTTTTTTTTTTTTTTTTATCAAAACAGACGTAGATGAATTGAGGCACTGACAGATTTCGCTGAAGTTACTGAGTTAGTTGAGTACTGTTTTATCGTATACTCAATGGTTTTATGTAGAATATGTTGACTTTTCAACCAAGTTAATTGCAAGTTATTTCATGCTAGCATCTTTTATAGTACGTCCACTATCTCAGTAACATAAAATAAGGAGCATATAAAGAAGTTTGCATTTTACTGATGTATTCTTTGGCTATGGCTATTCAGCTCAAACAGTTTTACTTGCTCCTTAGTTCCTCCTCCCTCTGGAAGGTTTAGTCCCTCTCTGAAATTGAATCCAAAGTATAGTCAGTAGGTCCAGGGATTTATCTTATGCTTAAGTCCAGTCGCCAGGAGAGTAGGACTTAGAACATGTTTTGAAGATAAAAAGCGAATGGGTGTGAGATTTAAGATATCTTTATAAAGGTTGTGGCAAGACTGAGTTTCCACTTTTTCAACAAACCACTCATTGAATTTGTAGAGTGTTTCAATTAATTATTGAGACAGTAATTAAAAGCCAAATCGGTCTTGAAATCATAATATAATCTATGACCGGGAGAGTTGTCACGCAAGTTAGAGCTTTAGATTCCAACTTGCAAAGACAGTTTGATCAAGAAGACTCTAAGAAAAGCCGCTCTTTCAATGTTCTGCATATACCTTCTACACCATGCTGTGGCCATAATTCACAGAGTTTATATACAGAGGGTTGAAAAAGGTTATCCCCCAAAAATGCTAAATACTTCTCAATTAGTAATTATTGGTAATTTGTGTAATTACGATTCTAAAACTAGAAAAGCAGAACATTAGGAGTTCAACCATGCCATCTCACCATTATCTCTCTAACTTGAGATGTTCTTGTGAGTTTGATGGCAAATGTTGAATGTACAATAATTTTTTCTGGAGTGCTGAACATTTCACTAAGTATCCACTGTGGTTTGTTTGTTACCTGTATTATTCTTGTTGATGTAACTTCCGAATTGTCCGTCAGGAGAGAGTGAGAGGTTGTAGGTGAATCCTATTGTCTTGGACAGCTCGCGGAGAAGATCCATGCAATAGCCTTTACAGCAGAACATCCGCATATCTACAATTACATTTTGTCTTTAATCCAAACAATGTTGTGCCAAAGCAGTAAAAAACTATAGACAATTCTAATAAAAATTACGGGGACTTAGTAAAGTAGCTAGTGGGGACGTTACTAAGAAGAGTAAACCAAGAACTCCTGATATGACTAAGTAAGGTAAAAGACTAATCTTTTCAAAGACTTTTCCAGGTAACTATGATTTATTTGATTCTCAGTCTTTGCTGTTACTGAGGTCTTTGGAAAAAAGAATTGCATTTAGCCTTACAAAAAATAATAACAAAAACCAGCAATACTTTCCCTGTTGAATGTTGACTCAGCAACCTAAAGTAAACATATTTTTGTCTGTGTAGAATACAACATCTGTAAAACTGTAATTAACAGTGGCAGATCCAGCAAAGGGGCAATTGCCCCTCCCTGAGAATTTGGTAAATAAATCTAGTTAAAATACTATAGTTTTAATAGCAAAAAATGATCCATGTTTTTTTTTCTCTAGATTGTCTAAAACACGAGTTTTCAGTTCAAATTTTACAAAATTTCCCCTCCCTTTACATTATACCCCCTTGACCCTCCTGCCGGAAGTTTACCCTTACAATCTAACTTGCCCCTTCTGAAATCATGCCCTGGATTTGCCACTGGTAAATAGTAGTGGATCCACAGTATGTGGTGATTAGTTTTTAAAGCACCAATATCCAGGCCCGTTTTTGACCCTGTTAGCGCCCTAGGCACAACCTAATAGTAGCGCCCCTTTGCAATATATATATAAGGGTGTCCACCGACCGGGAAATCCGGGAATCATGCGAGAATTTTATGAACCGGGAATTATGTGTGAATTTTGTATTTCTACCTGGAGTTTTCAAATTACCGTGATCGCGAATGACAACAGTTTCCGTGACCGCGGGAGACGATAATATGTCTACACTCGGCCGCGAGATATTCAGAATATTGCCACGATCACGGAAGACGATGATAATGTCCACACGACCGCGCGAAACAGCAAGAATTGTACCGCGATCGCGGAAGACGATGATGATCTCCACACAACTGCGGACCATGATTAACATTTTGCTGCAATCGCGGGAGACGATTACCATGTATACACGACCGCGGGAGATGGTTACGATGTCTACAGGACCGCGGGAGATACAATAATGATTTACACGGCCGCGAGGGACGATCGGAATTATGCCACGATCGCGCAAGACAATGATAATGTCCACATGACCGCGGGAAAAAATCAGAATTTTGCCTCATTCACGGAAGACGGCGATCTCCATATGTCCACAGGGGATGATTACAATTTTTCCACAATCGCAGGAGATGATTACGATGTCTACAGGACCGCGGGAGATGCAATAATGATTTCTACACGGCCGCGAGGGATGATCAGAATATTGCCGTGATCACGGAAGACGATGATAATGGTCACACGATCATGGGAAAAGTTCAGTACTTTTTACCTAATTTGCGGAAGAGGATGATGATCTCCACAAGACCGAGGGAGATGATTACCATTTTGTCACGACCGCGGGGGACGATATAATGATGTCTACACGGCCGCGAGGGATTATCAGAAGTTTACCGCAATCGCATGCAAACAACCACCAATGTTTTTTTTATTTTCCAAATTTTTGGCGCCCCCCAAAAAAGCCAATTGCCTCGCGCCCTAGGCACGTGCCTACCGTGCCTAATCGGTAAATCGGCCCTGCCAATATCTAAAATTTAACACTGAACTGCTTAGTTTGCAAATACATTTAAGTTTTTTACGTCTTATCAAACACTGTGCCAATTGGAAAGATTGTAGCTTTAAACACATACCCTCTCTTGAAGAGTTGAAGTGAGGACAAGGTATTTCATCAGGATTACAATTTTCACCCTCGTAATCCTCCAGTTCTCTAGTGTATACAAAGGGTTTCTCCTCAATCGTCAACACTTTGATGTGCTTGGGGATCTCCAATCCCTCGGGTTTGCTTTTCGGTCGGCCCGGCCATATGATGCGGGACTCATTGATCTTCAAACGCATTCGGTTCATTTCCTGAAATCATTTAAGAAGAAGTTAATGATTTTTTGGTAAATAAGTTTCTAAAAAAGTAAGTCTTGGGAGGGCCTCATGATTACCACTCACCAGTACGACTAGTTAATGTCATAGTAAGACAAGCAATTCCGGTTGTAGTCAAATGACATTATGTATATAAATTTAGTGTGTGTTAATTAATTTTAATTTAGTAAAAAAAACTATTATGGATAATTAAAAAACCTTTTAGGGCCATAATAAAATAATTGATAGCATACTGTGATTGTAGCAACAAAGTTTTAATGTCTTAAATAAATACTCAAATAAGGTAAAAAAACGAAACCACAAGTACAAATCCAAGCTAAATTAGTTTGAATATAGATACACTACCACAATAAAGTCCTTTTTTCCCATTTGTTAAAGTTTGTAGCTAGTTTTAAAGAAAAGAACTTGCTTTATTTGAACTAGAATGTGCTAATGTACAATGCACTCTTCCTTTTCATACACCATCTTTTTACTCATACCGACACCATATTGAAGTGACAACAGGTTATGTAAACTATGGCATCTTTTATAGGTATCCTTAACTTACTATGAAAAATAGGTCGGTGAATTTTCAGGGGAAATTTCAGATGAGTCGGTGGCTCAGTCGGTAGCGTCAAGGATTTCGGGCCTAAGGCAGCGATGTCGTGGGTTCGGATCCTGGTCACTGCCGTAAACATTTTATCAGTACAGTTAAACTTCATACTGGACCGGCACGCCCCCTTCTTTGCTGGATATGTTCCACGCACGGGCAGTTAGTCTATGTGGATGGGCAAATGCAAGGTTAAAAGACCAACCTCTTTATAGAAATTCTATAGGAGTACAGTCTATATTTTCTTTCAAGTAAACATAATTGGCAACAGCTAGCTGGAATTCATAGATGAGATGTGTATACTTCAATACCTAAGTCAATGATAATACTAACATTGCTGTAGAAGTATTGTCCCACGGTGACCTGTTGGCCGGGGCCTTGTACATTGACAATGTCGTATTCAGCGTTGATTCTGTCTCCGTTGTCATCAAAAGCTACCTTCCCTGTTGCCCCATGGAAGAGGACTTGTTTCTTTATATATCTGTAAATAAACGGTATCAGCAATCTGACACATACTTTCTCCCATAAGCTTGTCAACAACCTTTACCATGGGTAAGCGGTGGGAGTGACTATGATATTTTATAAGGAAAAATCACAAAAGTGGCAATAACATTTGAACTGTTACAGGAATGGGGGGGGGGGGGGTTGCACCATGTTGTTTAGAACTATAAGGAACGTAATAGGTTAATTTTAATCAAAACCGGCTTTTTTCTAAAATCAGATTTTTTTATGGATTTTTAAAGTGAAAATAACATAAGTTACAATAACTTTTGAAACCTAATTTTTATGGAAATGGGATTTATACAATTTTGTTTAGAATTCCAAGGACAAAAAAATACTAAATTTCTATCAAATTCGTTTGGGCCATTTTTGAGAAAATGTGATTTTTCTGTTATTTTATGGGTTTTTATGGGAAAATCACCTTTCAAAATCCAAAATTTTGAAAAAAAAACAATTGGAGATACTATAGAGTAGTACCCACATACTAAATTTAATCAAAATCGGACCACAGGTGTCGTCTGTGTAGCTCTGTACACATCCACACACACACAGACATCACTTGAAAAAAGTTGAAAAAATGAAGTCCTCTCCTCAAAGATGTGTTGCTATTGTAAAACAAGTGTTTTCAACAAGGTATTGAGATCAGTATGTTAATGGTATTATGATTCAAAATCCAAGCAATTGTATGCACTACGGTGCTATCTTTCTTTTCCTGAAATCCTAATTAGGCAAGTTAGTGGTTGAATATAAAAAAATATATATAATTCAAAAATGGCTTATAACATTGTGAAAGAACATAAATAAATCACAGTGGGGTAGTAGTGTGAAATTATTTTCTGGAACCATCTACCTCATCTCTGCTATTTTTGAAAATGTTTTGCGGAACTGCAGATATGTATTGTAAATCTATATCGTACTAAGTCAATTTTATTGTTTTGGTGCCATTACACACTTAATTTTAATAAACATCTATTCTACATCTATAAATTATAACCTAAAATGCATTTCCACGATGGAAGTTTTCCAACAACACCACTGGCACAGTTGAATGAAGAATGTTAAATCATTTTTAATGTCTACACTCAGATTCTTCTGCTAATCAGAAGCTTTATTTTAAATTTCTTGAATCTTCAAGACCTAACTACTCACTCAAACAGTACTTTTCCAGTTTCCCAAATTGATCCAGAATTATCACAATCTTTTGGTGCCTCTGTGATGTTTTCTGTTTGGTTCATGTCTCGGAGCGCAGAAGCCAGAACATATCTGAAAATCAGCAGGTTCAATGTGATATTATTGGAAAATTAAGACTTATCAGAATAATATGGAGTCCAAGACATAACTCAGTGGTAGTTCTGGGGTTTATCCCATAAGATGAACTTACCTGCCTACCTGGAGGTAGTTGAAAAAGTTAATATTTACCAGAAACAGCTGTCTTATCAAGAACATATGATCTACTACATTTTCAAAAATATGGCCATAGAAGCCATATGAGGAAGCAAGGTATCTATTACAACTATACAATAGGAGAAACTCACATGCTGTCCTGGATGTGTGCCTTTTCGTTCTGCGCATGGACGAGTTTCAGACCCAACACACCCACAGGGACGTTGGTGGCGTCTAGCGCTTGCTCCGTCACAATCCACACGTAGCCTGCATCCGCCATCTTGAGTAGACCTGCGTCTCGGAAAATCACATGAGCGTCTTCCTTGCTGCGTCATAAATAATTTTTACATTTAATTTTGTTTTTTAATTAACTGTATTTTATCTGTGAATAAAGATTGATTGATGGACAAATCAAATTTTGAAGTGTGTATGCATGTTACTATACCTATAACTTTTTCCAGAATATTTACCTGGCGTACAACAAGTAAACTCTCGCTTGAGCATTGTTCATCTCTAGAAGTTGCTCTGTGAAACTCTCCAGGCCAGGCTCAAACTCTATGACTGACTCCACCTATGATCAAAGAAATTACAGTTTTAGGATAAACACAATTCCCTTATTTATTTCTCATTCTTAAATATCAATCCAAAGACATTTCTGAGATATTTATTTGTATAATGTATAATATGGTTTGATGCAGAATTTTATTTTGAATAACGAATCACATAACTTCTCAGGTTTTATATCCTATATTGTATTGTTATTGTTATATACTGAAAAAACAAAAATTTTACTTTGTGGTTTGTATATACATATTTTGTTTTCTATTTTGTAAACATCACCTCGAATTTTTTTAAACATAGTTTATCTATTTCAAATAACTAGTGCACCTGTTGCTCGAATTAGAGCAATTACAAAGTATTACAGGCGTTATTTCAAAACGACTAACAGTCATAATTTCTGATGACTTAAAACAGTCAACTCAAAGATAATGTAATCAATCACTTTACTTCAGTTATCGAAACTAAAAACAAATGCTCTTGTGTGTATCATGCGTTTACTATGAACAGCTGTAATTAATACAAATTTTGTGTGTGTTTAAGTCAACAAAATCTTTTTTTCACGAGAAATACATTGGGATTTTGATGGCCTGTAGGGCAAAGTCCAAGGACTTTTATTACAGGAATTGGTGAATGGGGGCGTCTACTTAAAAAATACTCAATTTTGACACATCGTTTGTAAAAATCCGTCCATTATTAACGGAGGAGTAGTGTTTCGTAGAAATCTTCTTCACGTATTATTTATAAGGATTAGTTGTAGCATCTGAGCTGCTAGCCATACATATGATTTCAGACCACCACCAGTACTTTTTTATCCTGCAGTATTATTCACTGCCTTATTAACTGCACAGATTGATAGTCTAAGGTTACTGAAAATAATTAAAATATTCCACTTTTCAAATATAACTAAATCTAAATTTCTGTCACGAACCTGTACTTTGACCTCCACGTCATCATCCAAACTCTGACTGGTTGTCTGGAAGCGGCCAAGGAGGGCTCGACCGTCTGTGTCCGAGCTGTGAATGAAGATGACTTTGAGGTAGTTAAAGTGTTTGAGCAGCTCCATCCACACGTCCGCCTGGTGAGAGTACGGGGCCACCGTGCGGAGGAACGACACATGGATGTTCTGGTAACAGAGTTGCAGTGTATAAACACTTTTGAGGAACAGACTGTATACAATCCTTTAAATTATATGAGACTTTGTGTTTGAGAACCCCTACAGTTTGTCTCCATGATGTAGAAGACTTAGTACCTGAGAGCCGAGCTTTAAGGAAAATAATTATTCTAATGTTCTGTAGAACCGTTCAATTATACATATTATTTCATTCATTAAGTCATTTTCACACTAGTATAAAAAACTAGCTAGTAGCAAACCCTGAGATAATTAAGGTTCTAATTACTAATTTTTAGTAAAAATTGAGCTGCTTCGAGTCTCGATCCAACAAAGCCTGGCTACAACTGTAGATGTTTAATTCGTTCACTCTAAGGGTGCACCAACCTTGTCAGAAAAGGCGGAATCCCGAGACGAAATACCAATGACAGGGATGTGGTAGAAGCCACTGGTGTAAGAGACAGCCGCAGGAGACAAATCTCCAGTTAGAGGGTGTGACACAACAACAGCATACACCTGTCAATTGTTTTGATTTATTGCACATTGTTACAGTAAGAATATTTTTAAATCAAATTTTTTTATTATTAGATTTAGTGTGGTGATTTGCATTTGGCAAAAGTCGTTTCTACAAATTTAACACTTATATTTGAAATATTTCTTACCCGATTTGCAATGAGGTATTTGCAGACATTAAGGGCAGTTCTGATGGGGTTAGCATCCATCTGAATGGCTGTTGCATAAAAGGTCGTTCCTTTTGGGACTACTTGGCTGTCAAAGTTCAGGTGCTATAACATAGACATAGTGTACCTACAGTTAATGACTTAGGTAGGATGAGATTATCTGTACGATGACATGAAGTGGTTATTGATGTAGCATCAAATCCTACACACTTCAACCAATGGACTGTAGCTCTTAAAAGCGTAACAAATCCATTCTTTTTTCATTTAGCAAATCCATAAAAAGTAGTAAGCATTGTATTGTATATATCTTACGTCTTAGCAAAAAATCATTACCATAGTTAACAAACATTGTGTCACCTACCACAATACTATTCGCAGTTTGAAGTCGTGCTTAAAGCTAGATGCTTAAAGACAATTTTTAAACTCAGCTAGCAAAAAAGTGGCGTTTCCACTCCTTTCTTACGGACAGTAGTAAGTTTGATTGTTTGTTTTGTAGCTACATATTGTTGTATGGGACTATAGTCCATTTACAAAATTTAGGGGGTTCAAGAAGAAGGTTTTCTGATTCCCCCCCTCCCCCACTAATATTTTTTAACTTTTAATCAGCTGTCGGCTGATGTTTCAAAGTTAGGTTGAGGTTGTGGGGACGAAACTGCTTCCTCTCAAACCGCTTAAATTTTGTGAACGGAATATAATACATGCAAAAGGTTTGAACTGAAAATCACACTTTAGGCCTGCTATTTTCTGTAATTAAGGTTGAAGGGCTTTACAAAATAAACATCAGTGGAGATTTAAAACATGATTGTTTGAGAAAAATAGTAAAGGAACTAGATAGCCTACATTTACCAATTACCTTCTTTAGTTTTTACAAATTCACACAAACTGATAAACAAAAAATGGGAGAAATGAAATTGAAGACCTTCTCATGATCTGACACCATCGAAGTAAATAAATACAAGTAGTATTATTTACTTCAATGTCTGACACTTACGGCAATAGTCTCCTCGAACTGTAACTTGCTCTCATTGTTGCTGAGGACTCCTCCAATGTGGAAGTAGTCAGGGTTGCGGCAATCCACAAGCAACACCATGAGGGTGGAACACACACACAGCAGCTTTACCAACCCCATACCTGCAAAATAAACAGTCTTGTTGAACATCTAAGAAATAAAAAATAATCACAAATCTACAATCTAACTAATATAATAAATGTGAAAGTTTGTGTGTTTGTTTGTTTGTTTGTTTGTTTGTTTGTTTGTTTGTTTGTTTGTTTGTTTGAAGTTCAATCACGCATAAACCACTGGACGGATTGGGCTGAAATTTGGCATGATGATAGCTTACATTCCCGATTAATATATAGGCATATTCTTATCTCAAAAATCCTTTCGGGCTCCGCCCCAGTGGCTCTGTAATTCCCCATGTTAACCTTATGAGAATTCATATTTAAAGGGAATTAAAGAATTTAGTCAGCTGTTTCAACTAAAAAAGTTGGTTCTATGATATGGAAAAGCATTAAAAAGTTATAAGATTTACCAACAGGGTGCAGCACTATATTTTTTTTGCATTTATGAAAACAGCTAATTTGAACTAAGCAGCAACAAAAAACTGTGATTCGCAATGAGAACTGTCAAAGTAGGATTGTTTACAGTTATGTATATGTTTTTTTATTTCATGAATAATTTGTGATATTTTGCGAATTGATAATTTATTTTTCTCTATTGTTTAGGTAAAATGGTAGAACATTATGGCTATGGTAGATGTGTAATACTATAGAATACTGTAAATTTAAAAAAGCAAATTTTATCAAACTGTGTCCTCCACCCATTGCAATCGCAAAGCTTGAGTATAACTGCAATAAGCATTTTATACTTATATTCCAACCCCGTACGAAGGACGGGTACTCTGCTAGTATGAAATATAACCCAGTAATATTGTTACCAAAAGCAGGGTCTACTTTGCATGAAATGGTTTAATATTTTTATTTTTTAAATGTTGTTTGAGATGGTTCCAAGATGGTAAATTCAAATTTTCAACTTTGGCAACCTTCCGGATCACTGTCAAAAAGCATAAAAATCAGCGGAATTTTGCACTTTTTTGCGTTTGTCTGATTTGCACCCTGAAGCATCACTTGTTCATGAAAAACAACCCTGATAATGTTAAAGGTAAATAAATTAAATTACCTTTAATTAGACCAAAATGGTTATAAGGTATTAAATTAAGCAAGCTGGCTCCCAGCGAACAAACACTTGGTCATTTGTGGACTTTGAATATTTGAACACAATGAAGCCATGAAGCTTCCAGGACAAAAGGGCCACTCTCTAACCAAATGGCTAGCTGCGCCCAGTCCCTTGTAACACCAACAAAGGTAGATGTAAGCCTCAGGTAGTTAAAATTATAGAAAGGCGTTTGTTAAGATTAAGCACAAAAATCCTTAATGGCAGTTAGCAAATATAAATGACTAGTGGCTTGTAGGGACATAAGTCCCTAAAAAGCTCAAATGTAAAACAACTTTTTGCAATACCGGTATTTAAACAAACTCAGAATAACATTATCTTTGTGTCAGAATAGGCATCCCTACACCATACCTTTTGTGTAAAAACCAGTTTGTTGTTCTTCTTTGTTTGCTTTTGCTGATTTTATTTTCAATAAATAATTTGAATCGCTCCAGTGGTTTAACATGAAAAGGCAGCAAACATATCATTGTTTGTGAATAAATACTGGTTTACTAAGGTAGCTTTGGTCTTGTGGTTAATGAGGATAAATAAAAGCTTCCCTGTTTGGAATTTTAAAAATTCATTGGAGGTTCGCCTTCAGATGAATTGAAGACGCCTGCAATTTCATCTGCAGTAGGCTTATTATACCTACGACGATCCATATTTATCCTGTCTACAAACCTAAGTTCTAATTCACTGTCACCTTGTACAACCATTTCTTCCGAAGCTCTTTCGTAAATTTGTGCAAATGGATTTTCTAATAGAATATCAGCTAGTTTTGACAATATTTCAGGTTTTAAGTCACTATTTTCTCGACGCCTTTGACGAATTTCTGTTGCTGTTGATGTGTCAACACGGTAATGTACAATTGGCCATACACGGGGTCTTCATCATGTTGAGGCAGCAAATCTGAGATTGAACGATAAATCTGTCCTTGAATTTTGAAACAGTATGGTCCTTTTCCTGGAATATCTTTCTTACTGGCTGAAAAATAAGCAAAAGCCATCACACTGTTGCATTGTCGAATGAATTTATACAGTTGTGGGCTCTCTTCAAACAAACTTTTAAGTTCTACATTAGTTTTTGACTGAGGAAGGTTAATAAGTCCGTTATGGCAACATGTCATAAAATGATTATTCGTTAGTTCTTCTCTAAAATGAAGAGCACTACATTGAATGCACTCTTGGTCCAGTAATCCTGCATCATGGATCTTTACATTTCTCTCGTCTACCATGGGTCTCCTAAAAAGGGGTTGTAACATATCTTGATTAAGTTCGTCATTATCTACTCTTGCTCTCCTACGCGCACTGTCATTCCTATGAAATTCCCCTGGAGTTCATATTAATTACAGTACTTATAATGAAAAGAATATATATCCAGCAGCCTACATACCAAAACATCTTGAATCCCTGGTGATTTTATAAAAGTATGATCGAATATGATTACTCTACGTTGTATATTCACTGCACTAAAAACATTTACTTACGAAGGAATGCAAATACACCATTTTAGAACTAATAACATTTATAGGTTATTTTAGTTGTATATATTTACACAACCTTAACCTTAAAATGTGTAGAAATATAAAGAAAACATTTAAAATAAACTTGAACATATGATTTAAAAATAAAAACGAAACAGAAGTTAGATTTAATTTCGACTCTTTGATTATTTATACAGAATATTTATTCTATGTAGTTTATTCCTTTAACACGACAATAACGTAAAAGCATGAAAAAATGAAACTTGAGTATATGATTTAAATATAAACAAAGAATGCAGACGTTTTTCCGACTAATCTTCAATATTTCAGTTTTATTATAGTATACATTTCATAGTTGACTGGCTAAAAGTAAACCAAATGCGTGTATTGATCACTGTTTTCAAATCTGTGGCACAGCTGTTTTAATTTCAAAAGATGTAAACAAATTAAACCCCATGTTGTTTTAATGGGAAAAGTTTTATTCTGTTGCGAATTTATGGTAAAAAAATAAGAAAAATGAATAGTTTTCCCTCAAAATTCACGTCAAGACCTTTAAAATAAGACCCCTCCCATCCTTCTACGGCCATCCAGTCACTCACAATTTCTTTACAAAAATTTGACTTACGGAATTATATATAGATTCATCAAAAGTTTCAAGTTTCCAACGACTGTTTGTGTGCAGGCTTTATATTGGTAAAGTTTTAAGGTACATTTTTATAAAGAGAATGTTTACTGGAGTAGGGCTTTTGCTTTTGTAAAGTGAAAATGCAAACAATAACTTATTTTCCTCTTGAGACCGCTGAGATCCAGGTTGGACATGTCAACCCGCTTCTTGTACTCTGGTATATCTCTACACTGAGTGTTTAAGTACAAAGCTGGTGAGATGAGGCCCATTTGTGTTTAAAATTTACCATAGATTATTTTATTTATTTATTTATGGTAAATAACATATTTTGAGCTAAATTGCATGGTTTTCAAAACATTTATTAAAACAAAAAGCTCATATTTTTGAACTTTTAGCTTAGTGGTAGTGTTTGTGGCAGATATCATATTATAATATCATGCAACTTTGAAATTCTTAACCAAACATTATGTTTTCCATAATTCTAAATTGTTTTGTATCCATGAAAATTACTGGAATTTCATATGCGGTAAAAATGTGTGCAAATAAGAAGCTAGTATTTTTTGCTCTGATTTACCTACAGTGTTCTAATGACTACCTTTGCCACATCTTCCCCCTGTAGGCCCTACCCTGTACCTGTTAGTATCAATACTGTATTCTTTGATTTCTTCATATAAAGGTTTCACCATGTTAAGGTTCTAAAGACTTTTTCAACAGTATTCTACTTTCAGTTAGTGAAAAAAAGTTGTTATTAAAAAAAAAGAGGAGAGCTACTACAGAAGCTATAAAGGCAAATCTAAACTGAAATCATTGAAGATTGATCTAGCAATGGCGTGAAGTGATAAAAGAAAAAGGTTTTCTGATTTCCTGGGGATGTTCTAACATTCATTAAACATCATGTGACTAATGCCGACATACTCCTTAGACACAACTGTTAATTAATAGCAAAAACAGCTAATGACAACTAAGGGACCTACAGTTGATAATGGAATCCGAACCACATTTTTGCCTTGGTATATACGAATTGGTCTAATTATCAGGATAGTACTGTCATATCAATTATCAATTATCAATTATTTAAGATGGGGACGCCACTATGTGCGTATTTTAACCCAAATATGAGTGAAGGATGAGTGTAGGATAGTCCACTAGTACGGACGTTAATCTACACCAGGGAGTATCGCATCCACAGTGCATGCCTATAAATATCCACAATTCGTGACCTCCTAGTTGCTGGATTACAGGACTACCCCACCGTCCCAGTTGGCGTTTTAGGTTTTAAAATCATATTTTAGGAAAAAACCGGGTTTTTTTCATTGATGTGTTATGGTCCTTCTAAACAAATTAATAATTCTAGTCCTAAATTCTAAACAAAATAGTACAACCGCCCATTGCTGTAACAATTATTACGGTTCAAAAGTTATTGCAACTTTTGTGATTTTCCCTAAAATATCATAGTCACTCCCACCTACCCCCATGATAAAAGTTGTTGACAAGCTTATGGAAGAAAGTATGTGTCAGATTGCTGATAGGCTGATACTGTTTATTTGTATTTAATGTATGTTGCTTATGCTTATTGCTTATTATTTTAAAAGTAAGGGTTAAGTGGAGGAGATAGATTTCTTCCCTAAAACCACCTAAATATTGTGAACAAAGTTTAACTATATGCATTAATGCAACATAACAGAACTTCATAATGGCAAAGTAGCACACTCAAGTCCCGGCCGTGATTAAATCCAATTTCATCAATGACAGAATCTCTCAAATCATGGAAATGTGATGGGGCATCTCCCGGAGGGGGAGGAGGGGAATGT